CAAAGCACAATTGCCAACTATAGTCGCATGCCACCACCGTAAATACTAAACATGTATGCATTTTTCCTTAGGGTTCTGTTTTATAAAAAACTAGAACTCTGTATTTGTTTGGTTATTCATTCAGGGCATGGTTGATTTATTTTTCAGATTATTGAGAATTCAGGAAAACGATTTCAATTCAGTGGATCTTTTATAGCACTAATGAAGCAAAGAAGGAGAAGAGGAATCAGAGGAGAGAGGAGTGAAAAAAAGAAGAGGAAGGAAAAAATAAAAGAACAAGACAACGACCAAGAGAAACACCCAGATTCGGAGGGGACCGTTACAAGGGGAGGGGAGGGATTTGGAGTAAAAGTTTTGGGTTCCCTTCGTTCCTATTTTTTTTAACCAAACAAGGGGAGGGACTCATTTTCCTTCCCCTTCCCTCCCCTCCCCTCCAACCAATCACACCCTTAAAGTGAAGGGGAAGAGCTTAGAAAATCTGTGAGTGCCAATGGAAAATGAAGGGCATGGTTGTCTATGTGTAGGGAAACCGGAGTGAATTGTATTGTCCCAGATTTGCTACGTGATGTCCATTGGGCCTATTTCGCATTCAAGATTATGAAAAGACATCATTATAATGGCGTAACCGACACGCTTGTAAATTTGTGCTTGTTGGAGTTATTGTACCTGAAATTCAAAACTCGAGTAATTATCAACACACTTGAAACATTAGGCCTAGTCGTGAATCATATGCACAACAGAAATAAAGTATCTTACTAGTGTGTAGAGCATTAGGTAGGATAACAACACTCTCTCTCAAAACACTTATCTTGCCACTTTATTGTTTTCAATGACAAAAGAGCTATTATTGTTGGGTATTGGGCCAAACACATACATAATCCCAATTATGTGTTTCGTCAAGGGTACCAAACATTCAGTCTTGCTCAATGATCTAACAAGAAGAAAAGAATCTCGTCATTGCCTTTGAGCTACCAAACAAAATTAGCCGGCTTGTCATCAATGTGATGAAAGACGTGCATCCCGATTGTATAGGCACTAGCTATAAGAGCATTAACAATGGTGTAGACTCTCGCCCCGCCCTATTTTTTGCCATATCAGCATTCTACCAATTTACAGCCTGGCCACCTCTCCATTGCTTTTACATTATTCATTATTTTTAATTAAAATCTTTTTTAAGTTTTGATAAAAATATTTATTTATTAATAAAATAGATGAATAGTTTTAAAAAATAAAAAAGGATTGTAAGTCAGGATGACATCATCAAGGTCGGATTGGTGGAAGGGGTAGGTGTTGCCGTCGGGATTCATGTTTAGATAGTGAGTTGAGAGAGATACGAGAGTGAATTAAGTGAGATGCGAGTGAAGTGAGAGAGATGAGAGTTGATTAATTGAAGTTTAAGATGTGTTGAATTTATAGAATTGAAAATTCTAAAAAAATTAAAAAAAAAAGAAAAAAATAATTCCGGACCGGCGTAGCGGCCTGCTGCAATGGAAGGTTGCCCGTCCTCCCCCATTGTACATGCTCTAAGTGCCCATTCTCCTGCTAAACTCATACAAAGTATGTCTTTCTTGAATTGTTTATACCTTACCCTATAAATGTTGAGTTCTTTCGGATTAAGGATCATTTTCTAGCCTTCACATAGCTTTGTTACATTGCTCAGCTCCTAACTTCCTAGTAAACTTTCTCCTTTGTGTATTTGTCAATCATGTAATAAGAGAGTTAATCTTTCTCTATTTATTCTTGCTATCTTCATTGTCATACTAGATGATGTTTATGCATCGTGTTTGGGCTCATAGACTCGTTGTATTGATACCAACCATTACATCTCTTTTTTTATGTCTCCCTTTTTCTTCTTGGAGAAGCTTTGATTATGTAACCATTTATATAAGCGAATTGAGAAGGAAAAAATATGGAGATGAGAAACTCCCTTTGAGAATTTTTTGTTATCTTTTCTCCCTAATTTCTCCTTCTCAATGCTTGTTTGTTATGAGTACTTGAAATATAATCCCTTTAATAAAATAGGTTATACAATCGAAATATCTTAAAGAACAAAAGAATATAACATAGCAATCCTACCAAAAGAAAAATTCGATCACCCCAAAAGAAAATTTCGATCACCTATCTAAAAAAGTAAAAGCAAACAACCATTAAAAGGGAAGGGAATCAGTCTAAAATGGAAATGCAATAAAATTTAAAAGGGAAATGAATCAGATAATTAAAGAGCGCCTAATTTTTCTAAAATTATTAATTTGCTGCAACAATGCACTCCGACGCATGAGCTGCATTTCTCTTGTACTAATTTTTGTGACTTTCAATTTCACATGAAAAAGATGATAAAACTGAACATGCCATGCCATTGCCGTTTGTATAAAATCAAATTTTGTTTTAAATTTTCAAGTAACTTATATGATCATGCCAAGCATCCAAAATAAATGTGTTCTTATCATAGTAAGGCAGGGTTGGGGTTTGCTTATGCCTGGCACTGTAACTTTTGCTAGTAGCCATATGACCTTATATGTTCTTGTCTTACATCTTGTATTTCTGCATGCATGCTCTCTAAAGTAAAAAAAATGTCTTCAGCTCTGTTTTAGTTGCTTAGCACAAACAAAAATGGTGTTTCATGTACACTTGAGTTTATTTATTTATTTGGTGTGCTCTACTATAATGGGTGAGACAGTACTCTTTAGTTTTATGAGTTCTTATTTGTGTTCATGGCAAAGGAAGCCCATGCTCTTGCACTCCAATTTTTGTTCTTGGCATTTTGATCTGTGTGAGAAGCAAATTCTTTGATTGGTTGTAGTTTATATGAAAAAAACTAATTAAAGCTTCACCAGCACCATAGGAATTCATGTAAGCCATTTAATGTGTGCCGTCATTGTCACACATTTCGTTTCAAGCCAGGTGCACAGCTTTTGTTTAGGAAAGCACTCGTATTTTATACAATGATGTACATTATCAACAACCGGAACTTCAACACATTCAATAAATTACCACTGTTTTTCTTTAAAAAATATCACATCCCTGTAATTTGTTTAGATCTATGACTATGATTCATTCCCATTTTTTCCATGTGAAGGACCACTTTTTGTTTAACCAATAAATGTGTGTGTGTGTGTGTGAGACAGTGAGTGTGATTATTATATGAACCTTATACACTGATATGTTATAGAATCATATTCTTTTTCCTTACTTTCAGGATTCCCTGATACAACCTATAACAAGAATAGTGGTTGGGGTTGCTATTATTACCATATTCATTGTACTGGTGATGAAAGAGACTCCGGAGTGGGCCAAGAAGCTGAACTTTTCCGGCGGATGCATCCCCCCATGGATCCTTGCTTGCGTTGTGATTGTGTTCACACGAATGAGGAAAAGAACCAAGAACTTCTTGGAACGGCGCCGCTAGGTGTTGTTTAACACCTTTTGAACACTAGTACGGAAGAACCTTATGAAATCTGCAAGCTCACCCTGTTTCATGTGTCCTATGATTCTTATGATCCTTTGATTTTTGATTTGTTTTTAGTTATTAACTTCTGTATATGCATGTTTGAGTTTTAAAAAACAGAAGTTATATTTTTCTTTCACACCCACGTACACATGTGCCTTTATCCTCTCATACTCTGTATAATCTTGGGAACTTGTTCTTATAATAAGTACTCCCTCCCTCCCTAAAATAAACTTCAGTTTATGTTTTAGGATGCTTTTGTTAACATTATTTTCAACTTAATATAATTAATATTGGTGTAAAATTAAAAAATAGAATTTATATATGGTAATAAAAATTACATAAAAAAGCTCTACTCTAACTCAAAGGGGACATAATATTCTCTCTAGTCTCTGCTACAAATACATGACTTAGGGCTTCTCGTTGGTTTTTGACTTTTGTAAACTTTCTCATGGAGTAGTAAATAACATTTCTTTTATTTATGCAAAAAAAATGTTTTATATGGTGAAAAATACATACTCGGTATACAATTGATGGTGAATTTATGAACACAGGCATGATGCACATTTAAATGTGCTTGTAAATTTGTGGATTAAATTTTAGACACTTTAAGAAGTTTTTTGGAATGAATTTTGATCTCCGACTTGCGATATAAGAATGGTATGGAGTCAAGAAAAGAAATTTGAAAGAAATTTTGGAATTAGAAATAATAAATCTGATGAATGAAATAATTTGAGGCTCAAGGTAGAATTGAGGTAATTAGGGATATAAAGTAAGATGTTGAGTAGGAAAATAAAACCTCCCTTCTTTTGAGCTAAATAGAAATATTAACAACCATGCTAGGGGTACACCAAGAAGTGTACTCCAAATGGATGCATCAGCATTTTACAGTTTATAATGGCACAAAATGTGAGTTCAATCAAAAAAATTTGCACTGACATTTTGTGTCATTGCAAACCATCACACTAGTATTATACTGGCACAAAATGTTAACGCATGCTTTTGATGTACAAAGTGGGGTATAATTTTTGGGGTACACATAATTTAATTCACATATTAATTACGAGTACATTTGAAAAAAATATTTTTTGCAAAGGTAACTAAATAATAGAAATTAAAAGTAAAAAGATTGTTACGTTATTTTATAGGACAAACTCCCATGTTAAGTTCTGTATTTGGGAAAAAGACTAAAGTAGGAGTAAACATTGAAAATATATCAAAATAAGATTTCCATGTTTTTATTTTCAAAATATAAGTTAAAATGCATTTACATTATTAAACATGGTCATGTACATTACCAAAAAGTATAGTAATATGCACATCTACAGTGCCACATTACAACAATATATATTACCACAATGCGAAGTCTTATTTCGAGAATAAAAATATATAGGTTCCCATACAAACTCTTCGAGCTATAATTTCTTATTGTTCTGATTCAGTTCGCCCGAATTCCTATTTTCATACTTTTTTTTATGTTTTAATTTTATTTAGGGTGATTTTTATTCTCTATTTAAAAGCAATAAGAGTATAAGACGTCGTGTACTTCGTTCGTTCAAGCTGAAATAGTGAAATGAAAACGAATGAACGATCCTTAGGTTAGAAAAAGGGCAAACGAAATCTCGTAGCCAGAGTGAGACACAAGAGACGATCCCTATCAGCTCTCGGTTCCTTAGCAATGGCTTTCGCTTCTCGATTCCTGTCCAGATCCAGCCGTCAGGTTATGATTCCTTATCATCTTCATCATCACTATCATCTTCTTCCGAAATCTGTGATGCATCTATAGATTCGACTGCTTTTATGTTTGAATTCTATCATTTCCGTGTTCGTCTTCTACGGAGCATTTTTTTTCAATCTTGTTCTTCAGGAGCGAATTTGATTTTTTTATTGAATCACCATTTGTTTACCTGAGCTGGATCCGGTTTGGTTGATTGACTGGACTGTTTTTCCCCAAATGATTTATTGTGAGTTGGAATATGATATATTAATCTGTACAATGATATTTGTTTTGTGTGATTTGATATATGATTTGCGTGTTCGTTTTGTGTCTGTTGCGGAAGTCAGAGTTTGAGTTGGGATAGTGATGGTTGAGAGGCCAAGCAACTTTGATTCGGGAATTCTTTTTTTTTTTGCTTGCAAGTGAATGTCAGACCAGATTAAACGGCCATACGGGACTCAAGCGTTGTATAACATTTTTTGGAATTCTTTTTATTTAGAAATCTAAAATCTTTGCAGTGATAAGCTCTTCTCTCATAATCAGCTCTCTCTTTCTATTTTCTAACCTTAAATTGCTGCATATTTCAATGTGTCTAGAGCAGGGTATATCGGTAGGTGTTAGGTTAAATGTAGATGTTGGCATTTTATAGTCATATGTAGTTCATGTAACTGTGCTTATGCGGCACATAAAATGGGGTTTCATCAATGGTGAAGATGTTTATGGTTACTATTTTTCTTGACTAGCATTATATTTGAAAAACACTCATTTTTCTTCCTAAGAATGGAGAAATGACGGATTCCAAATTTATGGCTTGTATTGATGAGCCCTGTAAGAGTTATAGAATACATTGTGTCGTTAATACGTCTTCATGTGGTTGGTGCTATGCGGCAAGTTTGGAGGAAAATGTGATTCTCTTTCGAACAAAATTCATTGGCAGGCTCCTTATGTGTATATTCCTATTTTCAATGCATATCCTAAATGGTGGACACTTGACTAACATAGTAACATTTTTTTACTTTCCTAATGCTCGGAATTATGAATGAAAAATATGACGTTCATGTTTATCATATTAATGTTATTTCATTTGATCAGTATCCTTTGAAATGATGAATTATTGTCTACTTCTGCACTTTCTGCAGGTATATAGTGGTCAGATCATCTTGCGACCAGATTGTGCAATTCCAGTTCGTTCCTTTTCCAAAGGAGCTGGTGCCCCTGCTGCATTCAAGGGCGATGGTGAGTTGGACTATGTAGTTCAGTAGTACGAGTACTTTCTTTTCCTAGTTGTGTCAGCTTGCTGTTATACAATAAGAAATACAAAGTACAAACTTACAAAGTATACTGAAGTGCTAGACCTTATAAAATGAGGTGGGTAACAATGTGGTTAATGTGTAAGGAGTCAAGTATGTCATAGTAATACATTTCTTATGTCAACTGTAGTAAATGTCAAGACTGTTCTTACAAATATAGTATTGGCCTAAGTAACTACCTGTGCAATTCATTATCTTTTAAAATTGAAATTGGTGTTATTTGTTTGGTTTTAGTACACATCCATGCACAATTTTACCATCTACTACTATTTTCTTTTCATTCTTTAGGTGGGGTGGTCTGTGTGCAAGCTCGTTCTCTTGCCCCAAAATAATTTTTTAAGTCTGCCACTGGAAGTGTAACTTACGAAGTATTCTTTTTTAACCCGTTGCTTTTCTACTCCCCTAGAAATAAATCTATAATGCTCCCTACGACTACCTCCTCAAATAAACTTCATCTTTACATTTCACAGGGTCAAATTATATCTTATTTTTTTATTTTCTTTAATCATTTGTTACAATAAAATAATCATGACACCTCTTGTTGTATGCAACTTTTTTGATGGAAAATTGCAATATATGAATATTATTTTTTAATTTCACATTAATACATAAATGGAATTTAAAATAGCCTTAGCCAAACATCGTAAACTAAAATGTAAATTTTATTTATAGATAGATGGAGTAGTAATAAAAATAATTTCAGATGATTACTTCTTGAGACCAGAAGATTGATGAAGTCACCTATTATTTATTTTCATTTTGAAACATCCTTTTCTACATGATTTTGATCAAAACCATTTAATCTACAACAAAAAAAACATTATAATCCCAACTTTGGGAAGGGATGGGAAGAAGATGTACACAACCTTACCATTGTGAAAAGAGAGAGGTTGTTTCTTTTTTTCCCCTGATGCATTGCTACATCTACTTCCTTAGACTTCATAGAAAATAATAAGAAATGGAAGTTTAATGTGACATTTTGATTTAGCCCATTATTTGTCCAAAACTAACACGTTATCAAAAATGATTCTTTTAAATCCATTGACAATGGATGCAATTGTGGATCATTTAAATTTTGGCCAGCATTTGCCTCTAGTGAAATTATTATTTCTAAATATTATAATTGTCATGTTTTTCATGTGTCCATCTGAAGAAATGTTGAAGAATGTTTTTCTTGATATCAAGAAAAAATTTGAGACAGCAATTGGCATCCTCCGAACAGAGAAGATCACTATAGATCCTGAAGACCCTGCTGCTGTGGCTCAATATGCAAAAGTCATGAAGACTGTAAGGGAAAAGTATGACATTTGATATATTTATGATTCTTCTTTTAAATAACCTGTTTTTTTGTTTTATTTGGTATTATTAATGGTGGGATATTATTATTATTATTAATTGCTTGTATGTTGCTTGGGATTGGATCATAAGAAAATGCATGAGTGATGGTCTAGTTTTACTATATGATTAACAGTAATTTTTTTCTAATTGGAAGCATATTGGATGAACACTTTAATAGCAAAGTTATCCTTAAAATTGCCAAATATGTTATTGAACAATTGTAAGGACAATGTTCTCATATTGGATGAAAATTGTCCTAAAATTGTCCAGTATTCTTAAAATGGATGAACAATGACCTTAACATGAGAATGTTCATCCAATTTAAGATCCTCACAGTAAAGTTATCCTTAAAATTGACCAAACTCCCCCTCACCCCTTCATTGTTTTTAAATGCAAAGTTTCCTTTCTAGTAAAAGCATTATGTTACTATGACATCAAGATTTCTCCGTATAAGTTAAGTCACAAGTATGTTGTACAAGCTTCTATGATTTTTGAGTTATTATTGTGATTGCTCTTGCTGAGCATTATGCTACTAATCCCTACATAGGTGATAATATGAGTTAGGCCACAAGTATATTGTACAAATTTCTTTGACAGCATTGTTGTGTGACTGCTTTTGCGGGTGAACATTATTTCTATGCTTCTTTTTGCTATATCTAGCTGAAAATATCGTTGTGCCTTGGAAGGTTATTGGCCTTGCTGGCGTTGGGAATGCCTTTGATGAAGTGTATTTGCTCCTGTTATATTATTATTTCTATGTGGTTATGGATGTTAATGGAAATTGGATTCTTTCAATACTCAGGGCGAATATCCTATCAGAATCTGAAAAGGTGAAAGAAGTTATCGATACACAAACAAAGGAGATTCCAGATGCCAGGACTTATTTGCTGACACTGAAGGAGATACGTATTAAGTATGTATATCAATTGGGCTCTAAAATTCTAAGGTGTAATGTATTTAACCGCTCCGATGAATGATTGTCCTTAATACTACCTCCATCCCAATAATCTCTCTTTCGATATCAGCCTTATGTTTAAGGTAAATGGTTGAATTATATGTGCAGCAAGTACCTACCTGATGCATTTCTTGTGTTCAACTCTAATGTCTCATGTTATGTTGTAGTCTGGAAACAGTTGTGAGCAAAATTGATTATGGGTACATTACAGCTACTAAGAGTGTGAATCGATAGAGAGTGTGTGATTGGGATTTAGTGTAATTGCGCGTAACTACACTCTTTGTCCTGTTTGGTTGGTCATGTAATTATGAAGTCAGAACATAATTGATGCAGTTGAAAAAATGCAATTTCACATTCCAATTCTAGGCGGGGAAGCCAGAATTGATGTAATTATATGTTTCAATTACTGTACCTATCGACTATAAATCCATTCATGTTTAATCCATTCTAAGGACATAATCAGTGCATTCTTCTCTTCCCCTCCCTCACAAACCCTTCAAAAAAGAAAGCATGTTGATCTTCTTCTGCTGTTTGATATCTTTTTAATTTATCTTTGTCATTTGTTCAATTATTCTGTTTTTCTTTGTGTTCTGTATGCTCAATTACTAGTAGATCTTTCATTTCTGTGTGGGCACTAAAAACAAAATCTTGCTGGCAGGAGAGGCCTTCCCGATTCCCATGGCATCGAGGAAAAGATGATGAATGCATTGGATAAGATAGAGAAAGAAATTAAGAAGCCACTAATGAGGAATGACAAAAAGGGGATAGCACTCCTTACTGCAGAGTTTGATAAGATCAACCAGAAGTGAGCTCTATTTCTAACTAGTCAATTTCCCCTTTTCCAAATTGCTAAATTCTGTTTGTGGAAATTAACTTAAAATGCCTTCATTCAAGGAGAATATTACAGATTTGGCAATGTATAATGATTTTGCTTATCTTGTCTTGGTTGAAATGTGTACCTCACTTGTTTGTTTTTGCTGCCATCATTTAGAATTGGCATTGCCAGACAAGATCTGCCCAAATATGAAGAAAAATTGGAACTTAGTGTTGCAAAAGCTCAACTAGAAGAATTGAAGAAGGAGGCCCATGAGGCAATGCTAACTCAGCTGAAGAAGTATTTACCAAAACCATAACGCTTTCATCTCAGATCCCCCTCTTCTATTACAACTGTGATGCATTTCCATAATCTTACACATTACTCCACATCTCAAATTACCCAAATGCACACACACAGGGGGGAGGGGATTTTCGACTGTATACCTTATGAATTTTTCCTAAAACATTTTTTTATTTTGCAGGGAGGAGAACTATGATGAGAACATGTCGAAAGAGTTGATGCCTAATGTGAAGTCGTTGGACATTAGAAACTTTCTCTGAGAAGAGCATCAGGTGGAAGATTTCTCTTTGTGCATTTCATTCATGTTAGCATAATGAGTTCCTAAGTGGTCTCCGCTACACTCCAAACAGTGCTTTCCTGGTGAAATGTTTCTTTTTAGCGCTGGACTTTTTAAAATAAATTTATTGGCCAAGTAATTGGATAATATTTGTGCAATATTGCCACAAGAGAAATCAATGCAATGTGATTTCTTTTGAAGCTAGACAATGACGACAACGTTGCTATGTTGATATTTTTGATCCAAACAGTGTTCTTCCAAAATTCCACCAAAAACAACTGTCTTTACACCCTCGCCTTTTTTTGTTGATCGGATGAGAGCACAAAGGTACTGAACTTGACTTGGCATCCAAGTAAAACACCTTTCATTCGGAACCCGAATTTGTGTTTTCTATTTTGTTATTTTGAGTTTAATTTTTTGGAAATAGTCCGATCATGTTAAATGTACTAGGGCCTTGAGAGCTTATTGTTTTTTTCACTTTTTGAGTTTGCTGTGTTTAAGTTGGGAGTTTTTTGGAGATGGCCTTTCTATCATTATTACTGGGTAGGGATAAGATCTGCCTACATTTTAGTTCACCCTCTCTAGACCCCACATATGGGATTTTAAACGCGTTTTTTTTTGGAAAATAGTCTTTCTTCCTTTTTTTTTTATGTGGGGTAAGTTTAGCATATACCCACACTGAAGCTCACTTTTGGGTTGCTGGTGTTTGAGTGAAAATGTGTTTATAATGTTTCATTTGGAGTACGGAGTATATTTTATTCGTATTCCTTTTCTTTTTCTTTTTTTTGTTTACAATCATTACTGATCGTTTATCTTTTTCTTAATGTAGTAATTTATTAAGGCATGTCTTTCACATTTTAACGCTTTAATTGGATAAGTCAAAGTGTCAATTTATTTAGGCTTCGTTTGGTATATGAGTTTAGGCTATCAAATTAGAAATAGATACTTCAATTATATGGATTTTGAATTGGTAGCACAAGCTGTGAATTTAATTTAATTTTATTCAATTCAATTACATAGAATTTCAATTCTACTCTCTCTGTCTTAAATTAAATTGCATTTTACTATTAGGAGGGTCAAATTTCATTCACTTTCTTTTTTTATTTTCGTTTTTCATTTGATAAAATAATATAGTCATGCTATCACTAGTTTTGTAGATCTTTTGATGTAGTTTTTAAATAAGTAATTTTTAGTTTTTAATTCTACATCTTTTTTCATGTGAAATGATTTAAAAATAATTTCAGTTAAACATCGTAAATCGAAACATATGATTTAAAATTGGGACGGAGGAAGTGATTTATTTCGAGTCCATCGGTCATGCAAAGTTATGTTATGGCCCCTAGCAGAGCAGGTTGTTGAATGTCTGTCTTTCATTTCGATGTATAAGACCAGGATCAATGAAATATCAATGCACAAAAAAAGAACGTTAAAAAAACAATTACAATTCAGGATGCCAGAATCATGAAGTTAGTTTGCCGGCGTGTCCCTTCATTGCAATAGGACACGAAAGTTCTATGCCAAAAATGAAATTGTATCCCCAAATATACACAACATCCATTTTTCTTTCATTTCTTTACCAATTTTTAAGTAAAATGAATTTTTAAAAATATGTAGTTTTGCCTTGTTTTTTCCTTACAGCAATCCATTTTGGGAGGAAGGAAATATTATATTTATTGAGCAATTTGTTTTCATTTAGTGAAGATACATATCCTGTCCACCGGCTATTACTCATTTCGTTCTAACTAATGCATTAATGGATTGATGTTTCGGTTGGCTGTGCAAAAGAAAAAAAATCATCTATCATTTCAATTCTTTAGAGGATAATTAGTTAGAAATTAATTTCGACATTTCCAAAATCTCAAAGACCTACAAATTTCATTAATAACGTTATGCGAGTTATTCTGAATCGAAAGTCACATAGAGAAGATTCACATATATGATGCTAAGATATCCTCTTGAGTTACAGCGCTACACTATCTGAGTATCTGTCCAATATTTGGTTATGGGAATTTTTTAAAGCAGTGAAATGTAAGGACTTGGGCAGTATTCAATACCATGGGTGGATTTTGAAGGATCTTTCTTGTTGAAGTGCCTGTGACAAGGAGAAGAGAATTTGAGGAACTTCACAACTAACATTTAGTTTGTCATTCGTTTGTCTAGAAAAAAGATTCTTATGACATGGAGCGGATGATAGACATGTTTTACGGAGTTGGTAGTGTGGGTTTGCAAAGTTGCATTGTTGCGGGGTCAGCTTCTTCGCAAGGTATGGTAGCGAGGTTGTTGGTCTTATCTGAGGGGTTCTCGTTTTGAGGCAAGCTCAAGGTCCAACTTATGGTGAAAAGCGAACGTGCACAAGTATTCTGCTATGGTACGTTTTACTGACACGGTTATGACTAATTATATTCATAAAGGAAAGGATTGTCACATTCAATACCTCAATATGGATCACCCATTTCTGCCTGCCTGCCAAAAGTTAGCATCTCATACTACACTGTCTCAAGTAAATGGAGAACCAAAACACTAACCAATTGCCACACACTCAAAAATCTTGAAATTTGGATGATACCTTCATCCACCTTGTGACTTGTGATCATCGAGCTGGTTTTGGAATCCAACTGTCCTCCCAATTATCATTTATCACTACCTCCGGCAAGCCTTCTCCAGGCAGGACAGCTCCGGGTTACTTTATAAAGCCACATTCTTTTCCCGACTGGGGCCCATAAAAAGCTCAGCCCTCCTAGTAACAGTCATCTTCATCCGTTGTCAAGTAGTCACTCCACTTCGATATTATCTCGCCCTTTGCTGTTCCGGTTGTGAGAAGACTCCCCTTGCTAGACTCTCCGTTTAGGAAGAACTCGTTTGATTTGGCAAACTGCATGCTTTTTCCATCTTCCCATTCAGGAGCCCTCTTTGCCATTGGCCCAACATCTGCAGACTTAACATTGATCAGCTTTTGCTCCGTACCAAATACTCCCTCTGCCCAAGAAAATTAATCATGTTATAAGACTTAATTCTGTATCAAAAGTTGAGTCGTGTATGAACAAAAAAAACTAGTTTTCATCATATCTTAAACGTTTTCATTTAAAGAAAATACATGTCCTAAAGAAGTTGGGCATGTTAAATTTAGTTTTAACAAAGAAATATATTTGAATATATAATTCTCTTTAAGAGTTGTACCTTTGTGAAACAAGACTATGTTTATGAGATGGCGTGACTATAAAAAATTTCTAGCTTTTCAGGCAAATATAAATTTCCATGTTTTAGCAAGTACTGACTACCTTTATTCTGGGATGAGCTTTGCTTTCTTGCATTTCTCTTTGTAAAAACTGGCCGAAAACGGTTCTGGGAGTCAGATTCAGAACCTGCCATGTAACTGCTGAGCTTCGGCCTTTTAAACATTGCCTTGGGAAGCTCTGTCACAATCCTAGTCTCCATTCCATCCTCTGTGCACCCAAACCAAAACAGAGAAGCACATTCTTAGACTCTTCTAAATCACACTCATGAAGCATAGCTTAGCTCATAGTCAATCCAACCATTTAACGCCCAAATCAAACACAAAGCCTATTCATTTTCAAAGTCATACTGGATCAATTGGCCTAAAGCTTAAAGAACTTGCTTTGACTGGATCAATTGGCCTAAAGCTTAAAGACTCTGCGGAAGAGCACTCAAGGTTCAATCTTCATTTCTCACAATTCCATTAGAAAAGGAACAAATATTGTTCTAATTAGTGTGAACAACCAAGCATATATATGAAGTAAAAATCATAACATACATCATTAATTCTTCAATCTGCTCCCTATAAAATTATCACTAAAGTTTTGTTTCTTTATTATCGTATATTCCTAGCAGTCAATGTATATAAATCAAATTAACCTTACGTTCGTAAATGCATACTAAATGCCGCTGATAATTATGGTATTATTATAAGTAAACAAAGGAATGACCTATCTAATAACCACCAGAAGCACACACAAAGCCCTTTTCATGAAATTCAATAGAACTTCCTTTGAATGGATCGATTGCCCTAAAGCTTATGACTCCATAGAAGAGCTTCAAGGTTCAATCTTCTGCTCTCTCAATTGTATTAAAAAAGAACCAACATTGTCATAACTTGTGTGAATGAAAAAAAAGAGGCTTATGACATATACAATTATACATGGATTAAAAATCATAGTAGAGGTCATTAAACAGATTGTTTAAATTTCATCTTAAGGAAATCGATATGTGGTTCAAATAATTTATCTTGCTTCTTAATAAATTGCAATTGCACTGTTTTACTTTCTTAGACTTCTCGGCCGATCAAATTGGACACTTAATATTGTCATATATTCCTGAATGTAAATCAACTTAAACTCACGAAGTTCATTAACTTGACTGGACACCGATAATAAACACTACGAATAAACAAAGGATCAGAATGACCTGTTGATTGTTCGTCTTCTTGTTCAACTGATCCATCCTCGAAATCCAGGTACTCGGTCCAATCCGTTCTCTTTTTGCTGCTGCTGTTGTTGCCGTTTCCCGGGAACTGGCCTTCCCAAATTAGGGTTTGCGGCTCTTCCTGTTGATGAAGATGGATCTGTTGATCGGCTAGCTGGCGGGACATGTTGAAGCTCTGGACGAATTTCCGAACGTCCCTGGCCATGAAACCCTCGGCGAACACATTGCGCACAGACTGCTTCTGGTTGCACACCACGCAGACCCACTTGTTGCCGCTCTTCTTCCTCTGCTTCACCTGAGATTCATCCGATTCTTTCAATCGTTAATGGCGAGAATACATACATAAAAAAATGGCGAGATTGAGGACTGGGGGTGAGGTAGTAGAAAGTACCTGCATGGTGAAGCATTGGCAGCACTGAAGAGCAATGAAGAGCGTTTGCATTTGTGAGATTCGAGTATTCAAGAGAGACGAAAATGGTCCGCTGGGCGGGAAGAAGATTTATGGAAATGGGGAAAGATTTATAGAACAAGAGGTCACAAATGGTACCTGAACTTTAGCTGAAATTTCGAAGTGGTACCTGAACTTCAAATCCTTTCACAAAAATTCCTGAACTTACACAATCCTTTCACTAATGAGCCATTAGCCCGTCTCTAGGTTAACTTCCGGTCATTAGGGTCAAATTCGAATTTTATATATTTTAAAATTTTCAATTTGACCTCATTTCTTCTTTTCTTTTCTTCCACGCCCCGCCGCCGCCGCCCGCCGGTCAAAGTCGCCGGAAAATGAAATTTTTCCGATTCCGGCGGGACCAATGTCATTCTCTTCGTCTTGAGACGAGAATCAATAATATCCAAACCACTTTGTCTAATTTGGCCTGTAACTTCTCGAATATGAATTTTTCTACTCGAAAAAACCTTAAAATTCGAAATTGGATCCAAAATTGGGGGTTTTGCAAATCTTCATCAAATCTTGCAATTGAGGGGTCCTTGGAGGTCGCCCGGATGCCACGACCGCATTGGAGTTGGTGCCCGCCGTCAATTTCGCCGGATTTAGCCGGAAAACGCTCCGACCCACCGGCGGTCAATCCCGGGGGTCAATTTGTGAAATTTACCCCGGCATTGACCCCCCGCAGCGAAATTACGGAAGAGAGTAGAAACCCGTGAAGGGCGTGGGTCCATTAGCCCGAAATGACGGCAAGACCTTCTAACAACAAAATCCTTTAAAAATTTAATTAAAATGTTAAAGGGCATGTTTGGGAATAACATTAGAGATTAGCGTTAGATTTTTAGATAAAATTTTAACGGTGCAGATTACTTTGAAAATGTTAACGCTAAATGCTGGCCGTAGATAGCTTTTTCAAAACGCCAACGCTAATCGCCAACGCTATTCCCAAACAGGCACAAAATTAACGATAAAGCAAACTTTTGTACCTCATTTGTATACCGCAGGTTTGCACCGACATTTTGTGTTGGTGTAAAACCAATTTTTTTAACGCACCAACACTTTGTGTCCGTGTAAATTTTTGTTAACGAACTAACACTTGTGTCGGTGTAAACCATCAAAATGTTTGTGTATAACTGCGGTGTATAAATGAGGTACAATTTTTGGTGTAAGTGTAGCATGGCCCTAAAATTAATGATTCGTTGTTAACACATACTAGACTTGTCCCCGTTCGTAGCACACATTAATTATTTACTCAAAAAATTGAAATAACATACTAAAATAACGAAGTAAAAATAAAAATGCAAAAATAAAAATGTTAATCCATTGGTGTATTGGTATATATATCAATGATCAAAGAAAAATATATTACGGAGTACTAATATTTTGGAAATATAAAGTACATGAGTCATCAATAGACAAATTTATAAGTTTAAAAAGGTACATTGTAAACTACATTTGTCATTTGGTTGAACATTGGAAGATCTTAACTGCAAATCAAAATCTATAAGTCATTGTGATATGTTACACGTGAAACAACAACATATACTTATCCATGACTAAGTACATGTATATTGAGCAAAGTCGGTCCTGAGAATTCATATGTCTGGGCCAAAACAGAAAAAAGACCCTAAAAATCTTATCTCTAATGATCTAACAAATTAACATATGTAAATTAATTATATTTAAACGATAACGTAATATTATTAGGAAAAATGACAAAATTATAGTATTATAATTACATACCGTAAATGCTAGCCGAGGATTCGAGAAGTTCTCCTTGCATTCTTGAGAACAAATTGGTTGATCACATTTTCGCAGTCTCTACTCTCTAAGATTTCATTCTTGATAGCTATTACTGCCAATCCGCTAAGTCTTTCTTGGGACATTGTAGACCGTAAGTAAGATTTCAGAAGCTTCAATTTGGAAAAACTTCTCTCTGCAGATGCCACCGTTACTGGAATAGCCAACAAAATTTTATATGCATTCTAGTAACAACCAAGTTCTTTTAACAGCTTCAAAACATCTATGAGGTTGCTAAATACACTAGTTTGTAATGTGTTAAATAATTTCAATTCCATGTAAAGCTCTTCAGCATCAATATCCGATCTTTCTTCAAACTTGAGTGCATTTTCAAGTTGATGACAAAACAACTTAAGCTCTTTTTCTTCAATTCCACTCAATTTATGTGGAAACAAAAATCCAAATAATCTCTCATAGTCTTTGAATGATTCAAATCTCATATCAAGAGAAGATATGGCTTTATCCACAACATAAGAGAATAAATTGGCCCTGAAATTCTCTTCAGTTGTAAATAAAACTTCTTCGCTACATGAACTCTCATCAACTCTTTTTTCCTTCGAATCAAACACTTTTCTGAAAATATCGGAGGTTTATCCATTTCAGTAGCTATCTCCTTTGCTTCATCATTTGCTTTTGAATAACCAGTTTCTCTATAATCCTCAAAGTAGCCAATCAATCCATTTATCTCTTTAATAACAATATCAAGATGCATATTCTTTGATTGTAACTTCTTGCTCACTATATTTACCTGGTTTAATATTTGATACCAAATAACAATTGATACCAAAAACTCAAATTCACTAAGGCTCCGTTTGGTACACGGAATTCAAACTATGGAATTGGAATTGAAGACTTCAATTCCAATTCTCGTGTTTGGTATCACAAAAATTATGTGGATTTGGAATTGGTAGTGCAAAAAATGAATTGAAATTGGTGAATTCAATTCTATGGAATTGAATCCCATGGAATTTTAATTCCAATTCAATTCCAATTCCATCAATTCCGTGTACCAAACGGGCCCTAAGATTTTCTGCTAGTGACTTTGTTGTATGAACAATTATATTATCACTATCTTTTTCTTCAACTTCAAGTAAAGCTTCTCGTACATCGGCAAGTTGCTTCTTCGTCGCGAGTCAATGTCGCGGTCATCGTCTATTGCTACAGTCGCCGATCGTTTGGGCTTGGGCAAAATTGATGGGAGGAGTCATCGCTGCCCTGTACCCCGTTGGAGGAGGAGAATCATTGCGCAAGGTCGTCCTCGTCGTTATTCCCGCTGGAGCCTTCGTTGTTGATTGCTGGAGAAAGAGACCGTGAGGAGCATCATCGATTATCGGTCTTTTCTCGGTTGCTATGTCCAGCGGTCGAAGAAGAAGAAGAACCAGAATAGAGGAGTCACGTATCTGAGTAAGAACACACTTTTCAGACCAACTTGCTTCGAGTTGAGATCCGTTTGTGTCATTAGGTTTGATCCTTCTGCTTCTACCCAACGATATAACTTTTATAATCAATCAATAAGTATGACCCGTCTTTATTCTTTCAATTAATTAATATTGTTTAGTTGTTTAATCTAAATCTTTTTTATTATAATCAGATTAGTCACGTTATATTGGGACGATTCGAATATCCAAAGTGTCTTTTAGTTCTTTAAAATTACAAATTGTTATAATCAGATAATTCTTATTTATTTAATTAACAATTTATTTCTAGATTGTTTTTCAGGACGTTACAATATTTCTTATTTCAATTTTAATGAAATGTTCAATTATTTTATTATATTTATGTTTTTAGGTTTATTATTTAAATTAAAATAATATAAAAAGTTGAAGGAGAAAAGGAGAAGGCATTTCCTTGAGAATGGAATGGAATGAAAAAAGCCAAAACAGACATGGCACTGAATTGGCGAAAGGGAAAATGGGAGAGAAGGGATAGGCACACCTCAAGGCCTAAATGAAAATTAATTAACCACAAAGATTCTAAATCACTTCGTATATTTAGTACGGACGTAGAGAGACTATATGATGGAGTACTACGAGAGTGATTGGTAGTGATTAACTTGTAGATAATTAATTTCTTCAAAAGCTGAAAGCCAAAATAATTCATAACTATTTATTTGAAACAGTATTCTACGTACAAAATAGTGATAGAGAAAAACATATACTCATATTATCAAAGAAAGTAAAAGTACTACTCAAAGCAAAAACTAATTTTTAAAAGCTAACACACTCTACTATTTTTTTGGGAGGGAGTGAGGATATGATGAGCCAATCAAATGGGGAGAGATCCCATCTCACTATATGCAAAATTTTGGTTTAGTAGGCCACTGGTTAGGAGACACTTGTCGATTTGAAGAAAATATCTAACGCCACCTATGCATCTCTGGGAGCCAGAAATCACAGCTAAAGATCTTCTTCTCCTTCTTCATCTCTCTCCCCAGTCCCCACCCAAAGATTTCGGAGAATTTCCCAAGAAAAAGATCTTGCATTCGTAGTTACTGCAGCTCCCCAAAAAGTTCTTGTTTTATCTTTTGGGGCTTAAGCTAGAAATCATAGCCAAATATTTTTTCTTGATGAGTTAGCCATATCTAGAATCAGGTACTCTTCTTCGCCCGCTTCAAATCTCTTCCATTTTCTGCGATTTTGAACACATATTTATTCTGGAATCGTTAAGATTTGGAGTTTTTTTTTGCTTTATGAGAAAAAGTGATAATGAATAAGGGAAAGATTAAAGATTCAATCGAACTTTCCAGTGATTAAAATTGTTTAGCAGCATATTTGATTCGAGGTTCTGTGTGACCTTAGGTTCAAAAGCACTCTTCTTTGTATGGTCTACTTCGCATCAAATTATTTAATCTTTTATTAATTAAAATATGTTTCACTATTACTCCATCCGTCCCAAAACAATTTACCCACTAAAACTGCATCTTGATAACTTTTGTTTGTATGCATGTTTTCATTGATCATTGGATAACATAAAATATTCTTGTCACCTCTTGTTTTGTAGAACTTTTGATGTAGTTTTAATAAATAATTTTTATTTTTTATTTCATACCAATACGTAAATAATATCATTTAAAAGTCACGGGATTTTGCACGTTTGTCGAAAGGGTAATTCATTTTGGGACGGAGGGAGTATTACATTCATTATGGTTATCATATTAAATATGTAGTATTAGTCTAATATTAAGGATTTTAAACACTTCATTTTCTAACTATTCTACCAATATATATTTCACCATTATAAAATATGTTGTCACAATTCATTTTTTGTAACTTCATAAAAAAATTACGGAGTACATCATTTTATAACTAATCTTCCAATTCTAATATCAATTTATATTTCACAATTATTGTCTCATATTTATGTCATTTCAAAATTTATGGTTCAACTTTATAGTATTTTTAAAAATAAATATTTCTTCTTTGAGGAATAATTTTTTTAAGAAGGATATGATTCTCATGTGTTTTCCAGTTTGTTTTAACACAGCATTATTGTTTCTTTAAAAAAACATTGGGTAGAACAGTTCAGTGTTACTGCGTATATTTCAGTGTCCACATGATTGTTCTTTCTTTCCCATGAATTTCAACCACACAATTACATCTTGCTTAAACTCTGTGTAAGGTCAAAGTGGGAACATTAAAAAGGGGCGGAGGGAGTATTAAGTTTTGACCCATGATTTGTAGACTGAAGTTCATCTTCGAGGCTTTTCTCACAATAAATTTCTTTCCTGGTCAATAGGTTATGGCTGTTTTATGTGAAAGGTGGATTGATGGTCTTCAGTTCTCCTCATTGTTTTGGCATCCTCCAATAGATGTACAACAACGGAAGGTGTGATACTCCGTACTTACTTTAATATGCCTATGCTCAGATATGTATAGTTAAGTTGCCAACTACTTGCACAAGCTATTGTTGCTTATATTTCTTGTTTTTGTTGTTTTTGTTATTAAATTTTTTGTGCTTGTGGGTGAAACACCTGCTGATGAAGCGCTGAGTGGGTCTGTGATGCATGAATGATATCGTTACTCAAATTTCAAGAGGATATATTTTATAATTTATGTACCTAATAGAGTGAAACCTTCACAATTATCATTGTGTTTTTGAGTTCATTGTCATGGCTATGCTCTAAGCTCATTTTGCGTATCAACTCCATGTTTTTTAATTATGATCAAATAAGTTAGGGCTTTTGCTCAGCATTTCTATTTAAGTCATTATGCTAAGAAATATAGGTCGTGTTCAAGGTTAAGCAAGGTGAAGTCCAGAGTTCATTTAGATTACAAAAATATGAGAGTTCCCTTGGCAAATTTCTTATTCAATGAGCATACTTACTAAATCCAGGGCTATAGGAACATGCCATATCGTATATAGTTCTATGTGGTACTGTCTACTAGTAGAAGAGAGTTGACTTCTTCTATTAGTTTCTTCAAGAAACTAAGAAATCCTGGCATGCTCTTAACTGGTTCCTCTGTATTAACTGTGGTAAAGACTAGGAGATAGCACTATTGAATGTCATTACAGTTGAGACTTGAGACACTTGGCATTTTTTCAATCTTCAATGCATGTTTTGCATCCCTTCCAGATGAGATAAAGATTTAGACTTAAAAGTTGCCATGAAATTTTACACAGAAGGGATTTAGCTATTTCCCACTCAGTTGGCTTTGTTTTGGAGATGCAGTATGCCTTTGTGGTTAAGTGGCCCTCCACACCTTGATCATGAACCGTAATTCTACTAGAAGCCTAAGACACACTGTTTGCACTTCCAACTTTTAGCTTCTTCCCTGAAGTGAGAATAGGACATGATATAGTGGTTAATGTAAATAAGCTAAATTGTCCCACAAATATCGGAGGGCCCTGATTATGTCATTCTGGTAGAAGGGAGTCACTACGACAGTAAGACAGACTGGTTGCAATTCCTATTGATGACAATAGTGTGTGAGTCAGTGCATTTGGCAGAGAGTGTTGGCCAGACATGCTCATAAAACACCATAATATTTATGTTAATTTATATCACGTATCTATTTAATTCTAGCTTAGACTCCTAAGTCTTAAACTATCAGTAATCTTATTCTGGGCGTATGAATGGTTTACTTTACTACATCTATATGCATTGTCGAGTTTCTTAAAACTGTGAATTCTCATTTCTCATTTTATTGAATGCCAATCTTTAAAATAGCCTCCTACTTTTGAGTAGGGGTAAAGTCTGCGTACAACCGTACACACACCCTCCCCAAACCCTACTCTTGTGGGATTCAACAGGGTTGTTTTTTATAGAATTGTATGCATATAAGTCTGAAACACTTCATCATTCTTGTTTCCAGGATCAAATTGCTGCATATGTTGATTATTTTGGCCAGTTTACGTCAGAACAATTTCCTGAAGATATAGCTGAGGTACATGGTCTATGAGTTGGCTCTTGAGATGTTGTTTGCAAAATCCTTTGTTGGTGTTTTCAATTAGTGTTAGTAACTAGACGTTTATTTAACTTTGACAGCTGATCAGAAACCGTTACCCATCCAAGGAAAACCGCCTCTTTGATGATGTTTTGGGTATTAGTGATGTTCTCCTACTTCTAAATTATATATCATAATATTCCTTCAGTCCGATAAAACGACTAATCTTTTTCAACACAATTTTGTCCTATAAAAAGAGTCAAATTTGATAAAAGATGTTATTTTCCATCACATAAAATATTTTTAATGAAAAAGGCATGCCAAAGAGTTTAAGTTATGCAAAAAAAAGAGAGTATAACTGTATTTGCTGATTTTCATTGGTTGTGCAACATTTTTGTGTATATAATATTTTCATGTGTATATGTATGTTATTATTGTACAACATTTTTGTGCATAATATTAGGAAAAAGATTGCATACCCTTTGGGGGGGGTATTATTTGTATCGATATGTTTATATTAATAAATGCATTGTATAAGGAAATATTTTTGTAAATCAGCAATATTAATAAAATTAGTTAACATTTACACATGAAAATAGTTACAAAAATATTGAAATATTTACACAATATTTCCTTATACATTTACGCATGAAAATAGTTACAAAAATATTTCCTTATACAATGCATTTATTAATATAAACATATCGATACAAATAATACCCCCCCCAAAGGGTATGCAATCTTTTTTCTAATATTATGCACAAAAATGTTGTACAATAATAACTGTTAAGAGTATCCCACATCGGAAAAGTGTGAGGAAAATAATCGGTATATAAGCTTTTGAGTTGAACTAACTAATTGATTGGATTCATTCTTTTAATGTGGTTCAGCTCAAGTGTTTTATTGCCCAATCCAGTTGTTCATACCCAATCCTAAATTTTATCATGGTATCGGAGCAGGTTTTGGCCCACCTCGTTTGTCAAGGTGTCCGTCTAGACGTTCATTCCTAGCGGCCCGTTTGTCTTTAGCCCAGTGTTCCGTATGGAGTATGTACCCAACGGCCTGTGGCCCGTTTAACACGATTGCTCGTTTGAAAGTCCATACCCAGCGGCTCGTGGTCCTTTAGGTGTTGGCGCTCAAAAAAAAAGTCAAGGGAATGGGAGTTCATTTGCAAGTGGTCAACCGGTTAGATTCAAAATGGCCCGGTTGTCCACTTGAGGGGGAGTGTTAAGAGTATCCCACATCGGAAAAGTGTGAGGAAAATAATTGGTATATAAGCTCTTGAGTTGAACTAACTAATTGATTGGATTCATTCTTTTAATGTGGTTCAGCTCAAGTGTTTTATTGCCCAATCCAGTTGTTCATACCCAATCCTAAATTCTATCAATAACATACATATACACATGTAAATAATATTTTGCATACCAAAGCGAAAGAAACCAACCATTGGATAACCAAATAATATGCAAATAATTGAAACACAAAGATGTAACCAATTTAAAAAATTATGAAAAGGTGATAGAGAAAAATGGTCATTGATGAGACAATTGAATGTCTAGCCTTGACAATCCATTGCTGCTACTGCTTGGAGAAAGATTGAGTTCCAAATTTTTTTGACAATAGATTGTCAGAGCTGAGTAGATATCTGAATTCTGCTGGACAATTGATTGTTTCTGATGCCGGTAGAAATCCAGATTTGAGAAATTTTTGACAATCGTTGTCTGTGCCTGAAGAAATTGAGCTAAGGATGACCCGGTTTTCAGAAACTCTTAACAATAGATTGTTTGCTCGTGACAATCGATTTTTGATGATACTATGCAGAAACTAAATTGAGTATCAAGCTTCCCAAAATTAACTCACAACCATTTCCCCTCACTTTTATACATGCTCAACCTAAAGAGTCCTTGCTTTTGAAATCATAATGAAAATAAAAGATAAATATTTGATGCATTTCTTGGTTACATCATACATGCTTGGAGCATCCACTACAATAGTTGTAGTCTTTAAGCACACCTTCAGAACATTTAGAAAGATGTTTTAGGTGCCCAATTTCTTTTGAGTTTTTGGGGGTTAGGAAAAGCACCATAATCACAAAAATTTCTACCATGTATCTCTATGTTTAGAAAAACATACTAGTGCTATGTATCCTACCTTATAACAATAACCACAAGTAACTTTAGAATTAAACATTTTCTTTGCCAATCTTAGATTGTGCAATATTTTGTATATGTGATCTTTTAATCTATATTTCTCAAAAGTCCCTAATTATGCTGAATTATTTCTCGAATTGACAAAATTATTTCTAGGTTCTTTATTTTCAACATTCCTTGTTTGGCTAAAATTTGTAGGTGATTGATTTTGCCTAGACCTCACAAAATTGTTTTCTTGAAATTATTTTTCTTATTTAATCCAAGGCCCTCTTTATTTTTAAAATTAATTTTAGGTGAATTAAACTTGACTAACTTGTATTTCAGTTCATCTACTTGTATCTTGTGGGAGTCACTATATGACCACAGGGAAGAGTCCTGACTATTTAAATTATCCTCTTTGATTGTCAATTTCATATATGAAGATCTCATTTTCATTTTTCAAAAATTGTTTTCCTCTTCAAAGATGGTGAATTTAGTCTCGATAGATTTGACAATCTAGACCTTATATTCATCAAGTAATTCTGGAAACGCATCTTGTAATTCATCAAACGAACAGATGAGTTAGAGATATGTACCTCTTATTCATAAGACATAATGTGACCATTTCTTTATTGAAGCTCTCGGAGGTGGAGTCATCATTTTCCAAAAAGATATATGCTTTTTGGTTTGTCTATTTCTTCCTGGGCATTTGTAACACATAGGGATTGATTCCTTGTTATTTCATACCTCTAACTATTTTTTTTTAAGCTTTTAAATGTTTCAACTTTCAAGCAAAGAATCATACACATCATCTTCACTCGCAGAATCTATCTCTACTCTTTTAACATATGAGGCTTTGAGATCTATTCCATGTCTTCTTTTTAACTTGTAGAGATTTAGAGGAGTGAATCGTTTCATAAGTAGTTACTAATTAGGTTACCTTTAAGATCGTCGCTTGTGATGGTGTTGAAATCACAACCAATATTTTCCAAACAATTTCTTGTTAGGTGTAGGACTTACCAAGTGCACTGAGAGTATTAATGATTCTTGAAAATCTTTCAAACATGTCCTCTACTAACTCATTTTCCTTCATAAAAAATAATTCATATTTTGGGTTAGCAAATCAACATCACGAACTTGAGATGTACCTTCATAATTTGCTTTCTGGTTTCAGAATGGGAGATTTTTCGATAATCATGAGGGTTAATCGCACAATAAAACAAGTTAATAGTGAGACAATTGATTGTTCCGAGGAGACAATGTACTGTTTGTTCAAAATCTATTCGGTGTGGCCGAACAGCTAAATTGACATTTGATTGTCAAACACAGACAATCAATTAATGTAATCTTCTGCCAAAGATGTTCCCAAAACCCAAAACTAACAATCAATTGTTAAACACGTGCAGTTGAGTGTTAAAACATAGACAGTCAATTATCAAAGGCTTATGCAGGGGGTTAAAACCATTATTGACAATTGATTGTTCAGCATGAATTTGAGCAAGTTCGAATAAACAACTTGGAAATAGTCCCACAAGAAAAAAAATATACTGACATTTTTAAAAGGGTGTAACGGCATAGAGAAAAAAATTAAAGTAACTGGAATACTATTTTAAATAAAAAAACATTTTTAAAAATTAATTTGATTTGAACTATTTGATGAGTTAAATAATTGTTACTCCTATAAAGAAATCTACCAAATCTTAAGACATAAGTATCCAATTCTTTAGTCTTGATTTCTTGATCATTTGCTGGTCTTAAATTGAAGGAGCCTTGCAAATTAAATCTCTTCACCTTGTCGTTTCATCATCCTTGTTTTGTGATTTATAAAAGCCTACAATATGAAATCGTGTTATCTGACAAAAATATATTTAATTCATGCATATTTCAACAATTTTCAGACTAGGTCCAACCATACATTAGATAAATATGACTCTTTTTATTGGGCAGTGGGACTATAATGTAATAATATAATATAATGATATCCTGTTTCTTTTACATTTGAGGTCTCTTCTTCATACTTAGTGCTGCTTGAATGTTTTTCTAATCAGTTTCAATTTCCAGCAACATTTCTCCTTCATCATCCCGAGCATGGGCATGCTGTAATTCATCCAATTATCTCATGTATCATTGATGGTACACTGGATTATGATAAAAGTAGACCACCTTTTGCCTCTTTCATTTCGTTGGTCTGTCCAAGCAGTGAGGTATTCAGATTCTTTAGCAAAATTCTCGACTTTGTGCTTTAGTTTGTTATTTGTTTTTATATGGGAAAAAGGTCTTGAGAGTAATTACAATACACGGTTGCAGAAGGAATTTTCTGAGCAATGGGCACTTGCTTGTGGAGAGATTTTACGTATACTAACCCACTATAACCGCCCGGTTTACAAAGTCAAAAAACATGATAGTGAAGAAGATAGAAGCAACAGGGGCAGCCATGCTTCAACAAGTAAATCTGTTGATGGGGAGCATAGTGAGCTCTCTGTGCAACATGAGAGTAAACCATTGAGGCTACTGTCTCCGTGGATTACTGATATATTGTTGGAAGCACCTCCACGCATTAGAACTGATTACTTCAGGTGGTAAGTACAATTTCGTGGCATGAGATGGTTAATATTTTCAAAAACTAAATTATATACTCCCCGTTCCTAAAAGAAAATTTGACTTTCCTTTTTGAGTTGTGCCAAAATAAACTTCACACTTTTTAAATCTCCCAAAAGGAGTAAATATCTAGTATGACTTTACTGTATATTTCACGTTAAAAGTACTAAAAGAGTAATTGTTGGCCATGTGTGTATCAATTGTCCCGTGGCAGAGGTTGTGTGGTCAAGTCACACTTGAATGTCGTGAGCACTTGTGTGTGTTAGATGCACTATAAGGCTAGGCTAACACCATTTGGTTTTACGAGAGTTGGTAGTGCCTGAGGTCATATAAGTGGTATCAGAGCCAAGATCATAAGCTCGCGGGAGCAATTGATGAGGGGGAGATTGTTGGTCATGTGTGCATTGGTTGTCTCGTTGCAATGATTACCTCCTTTCTGTTGCCACCTTTTTGTCCGGCTTGCTTGAGGTACCAATCAGTGCTGAATTTTCTTCCCATCAAGCTAGACCTCTCTCCATTACCTTTGTGCCGCTACCGCCTCTCCGGATCTCACTCCATTTCTCTCCCTTCCAGTGTCACCTTATTGTTCGGCTTCTTCCCATAATAGGAGGAGTGTATGGCAATGGAGAGTATAACTCCCATCAAGGCGCATAGGTAGGCCTCGTCAGAGCACACATGTGGGTGGTGGTGTCACCCTCAACAAAAGATAGGAAGAGGTGGAGCACGAATATTAGGTTTAGGCCCCACTCCTGTTCGTTATTGGAAACCGTAATTGGAAAGGGTGAGGCAATGGGCATTATAATCACTTCCCCAACTAAATTTCTTTTGAAGGGAATATAAGCCTTGTGAAGGATATGTGTGATGGAGTAATCACTAATGTAAAAAGCTTTAAATTCTGTTAATATCACAGTACATCAAGGATAAGCTTTATGTTCTTTCCATTTTAAAACGGTCATTGAAGATAGGGATGACAACGGGTCGGGATTTGGTTGGGTGGAGCTTCACCTTCATTGTTCATTCATCCATCGACTCTATATTCATCACCCGACTCATCCATCATTTGTTACTTGTTACATACATCACCCATCACCCGAACCATCCATCATCAGCGGGTTAAGCGAGTGAAAACGAGTGATATAAGTAATGATTCTTAATCATTCATCCCAGGAAATAAAAAACTTGTAAAGCGTATTGTAACACCTCGGCCCCCACCCTAGCCGTAAGTGTCAGCTCATAGGATTGTAGACGGGCCCCACAAACTAACACAAGTCTTTCCCGCGCACTTTGTCCTCACTCGTGCGCGCCCAAGGAATTTCCCAGGGGTCACCCATCCTAAAATTGCTCCAGGTCAAGCACGCTTAACTTTGGAGTTTCTAGGTGATGAGCTCTCGAAAAGAAGATGCACCTTGTTGATATGAATAGTGCTATCAATCCTTTTTGAGGTCTTCCCATTCCCATCTTAATACGAGGTATTACACGTATAACACATGAAAAGTCTTAGAAAAATAAGAGATTAATAATAATGTTTATAATACTCCATAAAATCCTGCAATCAAACAATCTTCTAAGTTAAAAATTAGGCTTTTATAAATGGAACATTGGAAAGTAAAACAAACTTATGCACCCAACAAAGTTAATATTTTTTAGTTTTAATTTTTTATAATAAATATGAATGTGCGAGGTCAAGTGACGGGTGAGATAAATCTCCATCCGCATCTGACCCGAGCCATCATTAGTCCATCCATCACCCTTTTTTTTCAGGTTTTTATCCATGAGAATGGGTAAGGTGGATCGGTTATCCATTGGATTGGGTAGATATTGTCATCCCTAATTGAATAGCTAACAAGGGCTAGACAAGAGGATTTACCTTTTTGTATGTTTTTTGCGGAAGATATTGTTTCGATCGATGAGACTCGAGTTGGTGTTAATGAGAGAGAGGTTAGAGTTGTGGAGGAAGACATTTGAGTCTAAGGTTTGAGACTAAGTTGAAGTAAAATGGAATATATGGAATGCAAGTTTACTAACGAAGAAAACAAACATAAAGGTTTTTGTGACTAAAAGATCAAAATATCTCGGTGAGTAATCAAAGGAAAAACCACGTTGAGTTCACGGGGTCCTGGGTTCCCACAAGTCTAAAATTTTTTCAGAGTAGCGTAGTGGCACACTTCGACAATTGGTGAGTAGTCCTGGTTCGATTAACTCGTCCTCTATCTCCGTCCATTTTTTTCTCATACTTATATCAGTTAAATTTTAAATTTTCTTAGTGGGAAGTATTGGAACTAAAGTATTACTCCATATTTTTTAAAAAAAAATAAATACACTTTCCTTCGCAAAATTCAACCATAAATAGTACCTCGTATTTACTATTCTTAAAATCCGTAAAAATGGTAGTTCATGCTTATATCAATGGAATTTAACTTTTTCTTTTTCAATGAGATGGCGTTGTATCCACCCTCCTTATGACTAAATCTACTCCATTTATGATTAAATGGACAATTTTGTCCTTAAAAACCTTGAAGGATATTAGATGTTAACCAATTTCCTAAGTACAAATTTGTCCATTTAACATAAATGAAGTGGATTTTTCCTTAATGAGGGTTGATATAACAACACCAATAACTAAATTATTCTTTCTTATATTAGGATAAACAACATTCTTTACAAAATTCAATCATAAATAATATTCACTATTCTAAAATCCAAAAAATTTTAATGAATGAAATTTAATTAAAGCATAGAGAAAATGCATACCCTCCATTCTATTGTATTCATTCAGTTTGAACTTTGATTATCATATATGCATAATTTTTATTGCAAATTATCAAAAAAACGATTACTCCTATATTAGACGTGTTGCAAAAAAACTTTCGGATAACCTTACGGAGTAGTATTTTAATTATTTTTGAAGGACATATTTTATTTTATTAATATGCATTAGCATTTCTATTTACATGACTACAAACGGATAACTTTCATTCATTTTGACGATCAAGTTGGATAAGTGCATATAGTTTTTAAGATGCTTTAACTTGATTCTTTTAGGGGCGTGGTTTCAAAGTTTAGTGAAGTTGGAAAAGGAGATGAGAACCGCCAATCTACTCAAGTCACCTCAATCCTCATACTTGAGTTAATATACAAGAAATATATGGGTGACCTCACTCGCCACTTCTATGAAAAATAGAAAAAAAGTAGATTTGAGGCTTTTGAATATTACTCCATATCTTAAACCATGGCTAGGAATTGCTGGATCTGCCTACGTGAGTGATGGATTTAGATATTTAGGTTCTATTATACAAAAAGATGGAGGATAATTGGATGGAGATGTTGAACATTGTGTAAAGGCAGGTTGTTGAAAAGGAGGAATGCAACTGGAGTTCTTTACCGAATAAAATTCACTTTCCTTTCTCGTCTCTCCCAAATTAACTTTCCACTTCTTTTCTTTCCATAAAAGAAAAGAAAAGGAATAAGTGGCTTACACCATTTCTCTCTCCGTTAAACAAATTTTATCCACACTTTTTACTTTTCAACAACTTTCTTAAACTCCATGAATTCAAATCGGGACTTTTGGGGACGGAGGGAGTACCTTTGAAGTTAAAGTGAAGTTCTACACAACGTCAATTTGACCTAGACGTTTATATGGTACTGAATGTTAGAATGCTAAAGGGTGTTATGTTATGAATATGAAAGTAACTGAAATGTGCATATTGGCTATTACGATGGATGTGTGGGCACACAAATGGATCAATAAGAAATGAAATCATCCAAAGAAGGTAGAAGTGGCGCATATTAAAGATAAATTGAGGGAGAATTGCGGAGGCTTGGAAAAATAGAAAGAAGACCTAGTGGTGCATTGGTTAGAAGACTTGAGGGTTGGAAAACATATTGTGCAAAAGAGGAAGACCTAAAAAGATGCGGGAAGATGTTATTTAGAGCGATTTGGCTTATTTGAGTTTGGACATGAGTATGGTAATGGATAGGAAAAAATGGTGAGAGAACATATCTTTGAATGAACGAATGTGATTTTCTTCTTAGTTCATGTAGCCGACCCCAAGTTACGTACGAGTATAAGGCTTAGTTGGTCTTAGTTCCCTTTATAGAAAGTATTATGTGATTCACAATGTTTCTCTCCTTCACATAAATCTCAACCACACAATTTTCACTTTATCAATTCTCCTAGCCCAACCAAGTGGGACAGAATGAGTAATGCATAAGAAGTGGTTAAATAAAACAACACCATTAGCTAAATGTTTTTTATATGTAGTAAGAGCCGCATAGGACTGCTTTGGCCCACCCTGGATCTCCTCGGCACCAATGATCATTTCTTCAATCCGTTTTGGCTAAGATCAAGTCCACCCGCCATGCCAAAGAAGTAGGACTTCTTTGGCCTGCCTAGGAAATCCAGCCTCCTCACAGGTGTCATCGCATCTATGAGGCAAACATGATTGAATCACTGCAATTTGCATTCTTTGAAAATATGAGTGATAGAGTGGCTTCTAGCTCAGACAAAAAGACCACATTTGGTGGTAATCTGTCTAACTTGGTACGACCACAAGTTTCCACAGAATCCTGAACTCTTCAGCTTTTAACATATGCTCATGTGCCTTCGCAATTGCCGAACTCCTCTAGCCATACATCATAATGTGTTGAATAGCTTACATGTAGAATATATCCTATAATTTTAGGGTGACCGTTTTGTCATATGTCACAAAGCACCCTGCGACAGTTCTTCACTGGAACAATCATATCTTTATATGGTGTGTGATGTTATTATCGATCTCTCTCCCTTATCTGCAGGAATGAAGTCAAATACTCCCAAGTATCTCTTTGTAGTACCCTTCCAATATTGACTTCTACTTTCTCATCTATCTTCCCTTACACCAAAGGTGTCTGATAGAATTTAGGATGGGTATGGACAACTGGATTGGGCAATAAGACACTTGGGTTGAACCACATTAAAAGATTGAATTCAATCGATTAGTTAGTTCAACTCAAGAGCTTATATATCGATTTATTTTCACTACAAGTTCCAATGTGGGATAGACTCCAACACTCCCCCTCAAGTGGACAACCGGGCCATTTTGAATCTAACCGGTTGACCACTTGCAAATGAACTCCCATTCCCTTGACTTTTTTTTTATGAGCGCCAACACCTAAAGGACCACGAGCCGCTGGGTATGGACTTCCAGACGAGCAATCGTGTTAAACAGGCCACAGGTCGTTGGGTACAACATCCATACGGACAACTGGGCTAAAGACAAACGGGCCGCTAGGAATGAACGTCTAGACGGACACCTTGACAAACGAGGTGGGATAAAACTGGCTCCGATACCATGATAGAATTTAGGATGGGTATGGACAACTGGATTGGGCAATAAGACACTTGGGTTGAACCACATTAAAAGATTGAATTCAATCGATTAGTTAGTTCAACTCAAGAGCTTATATATCGATTTATTTTCACTACAAGTTCCGATGTGGGATAGACTTCAACAGTGTCTTATAGCAGTTAATGCACAAGTCATGAGTTTTCAGTACCACTCTCCATTGGTTGAGTTTGTTGTCCCCAAAACACATACACCACTGTGTGTCTACCGAATTCATGGTTGTTTAGAGCACCGCTTTTCACAAGCTGAGAATAGTGTATTTGAGGTGTTGGGCTTTGTGGAGGCTTGGGCTTGTCTTGTTGGCCCGGCACATGTTATGTAACCCTAGGTTTTTTTTCCTCCTATATATTGAGCCTTGTACTTGTAATTCCGCGAGGCACCACAAGTGAAATAAGAAAATCCTCCTGTTGCAGCCGTGGATTAGGGAAACCGAACCATGTTAAATTCTTGTGTGTCGTTTGTGTTCCGTTTCTCTCGTTTCTCGCAGATTATTTGTGTGTGTTGTGTGTTTAATTCCCAACAAGTGGTATCGGAGCCAAGTTGTTCAACACGAACGCAAATTGTGAGAAATTGTCACCTAGGGTTCTTGTGTGAAGAACCGTGTGGATCCAGATTGGGTGTGTGTGGCCGTTCAATTGAGGAGCGCCGCTGTGTAGGCTATTTGCGTAGCGGCAGAAGCTGTGACCCAGAGGAGGGACGCGCAGCAACGAAGAACCGCGCTGAGGAGCAGCCGCTGAGTGACCCGCGCACAGATTTGCCGGGAATCTCAGCCGTTAATCGCCGTCCGCGAGCAGTTTCGCCGCTTGAGTGAACCGCGTTGCTGCCGTCGTCGCGCAGTAGATCCTCCGTCGTCAGTTGACCATCGCGAGCAACACAGTAGCGAGAGAGGGTGCAACGCCGTCAAGTTCGCCGCTGGGTCTTGCCTCCGTCGCCGCGAGGATCGCCGCCGCTGTTTGCGTAAAGACCGCCGCACGCAGGAGCAGCGGCAGAAGGAGCCGCCGCCATCGATAGCAGATCCTGAAGCGCCGTCGTCCTCAGTCGCGCTGCTGGGTCGAGGAGGTCGCCGCCGCCGTCCTGTTTTGCCTTCGCCGGAAAAAAAACAAAAGCATAGGGGGCTGATTTTTCTTGCTTTGCAGGTTCGGCAGAAAGAAAAAAAAAGGTTTTTTGCTGGATTGAAGAAGAGAAAAAAAACAGTTGGGCCGTGTGATTTTTTGTTTTGGGCTGGCTATTTGGTTTGGACTGGTCTTATTGGTGGGCTGTGGATTTGGCCTGATTTTCTGACGAAAAAAATACCAAGATCTGAAATTAGTTGTACCGGGTATCTCGCCTAGTCGTTTGAGATGGCAGAAGACGGGAAGTTCCGAATTGAAAAGTTCGATGGTACAAATTTCAGTTGGTGGAAAATGCAAATTGAAGATTTGCTGGTTCAGAAAGATTTGGACGTGGTATTGGGTGACAAACCAGAAAAGATGTCAGATGCAGATTGGGCAGGTTTGGATCGGAAAGCTATGCCCGTGATCCGTCTCTCGTTGACCAAGAATGTTGCGTTCAACATTCTGAAGGAGAAGACAGCGATGGGAATTATGGACGCGCTGTCTAACATGTACGAGAAGCCATCTGCAGCGAACACAGTTTTTTGATAAGAGAGCGGGTGAACACAAAAATGAAAGAAGACACTTCTGTTACCGAGCATATCAATAAGTTGAATTCGATCTTAGCCAGACTATTGTCAGTGGGCATTAAGTTCGATGATGAAGTTCAAGCTTTACTACTGCTATCGTCTTTACCTGATAGTTGGTCCGGAACGGTTACTGCAGTTACCGGTTCAGTGGGACCCGATGGATTCACCTTTGATCAGATTCGAGATCTCGTTCTTGGCGAGGACGTCAGAAGAAAGAGTTCTGGGGAATCATCTGGTGAATTGCTTCATGTTGGTAGAGGCAGAAGAAATAGCAGAGGTAGTGGGAGCACGAACAGACGAAGGAGTCAGTCGAAGACTCGGGATAGCTCAGGTGTAACGTGCTGGAAGTGCAAGGAGGTGGGGCATTTTAGGAATCAATGCCCCAATGATAATTAAGTGAACATTGCTAAAGGCTCTGCGAGTGACGAGGAAGTCACTCTGACTTGCTGTGAGGAAAGCAATGTGGATTTCTGGGTCATGGATTCTGGTGCTTCATTTCATGCCACCCACAGCGGTGAAGCATTGCAGAATTTGGTTATTGGGGACTTTGGAAAGGTACGACTAGCGGACGACAGTGCTCTTGATGTAACGGGCATGGGTGACATAGTGTTGATGACCCGAGTCGGTTTCTGGACTTTGAAGGATGTCAGAGTGGTTCCAGGCTTGAAGAAAAGTTTGATTTCTGTCAGGCAATTGGACGAACAGGGACACGAGGTAAAGTTCAGAAACGGGCAGTGGAAGGTCGTGAAGGGAAATCTTGTCATGGCCCGCTGAAGGAAGAGTGGTTCGTTGTATATGGTCGATTTACCATCCGAGGGAGTGATCGTCCCAGTTCAGAAGAAAAACAAAGTCCGGTTCATAGAGTCTCGTGGGCAGAATAAGGTTATCTATGCAAGAGAGAAACCTAGAGCCACAGGTTAGACTCAGGATGAACGAGCGAGGAAAGGTTCAAGGAGGCCAGTCAGAGGTATTTGTGGCAGTGGGAGCTCAAGAGGCGCTTCAGCCAAGTTGCCTAGAAGTCAGTGGGTCAGAAGAACCAGTATTCCAGCTGTTGGAACATCTCCAGAAAATTTCTTGCTGAGTACGGAGATTGTTTGTTCTCAGGATGTTCCAGAATCCGGCAGTGTGCGTCTACAGTGGGAGCCGGTAGGGACCGAGGACGAGTCAGGGGCAGATTTTGCCATGACTGATGTGTTGGAGCTTGGGAGAGCTTCAACGGGCCTTTCAGTTGTCTGATGAGAGGGCCGCTGCAATAGGAGAGCTGAGGAAGATTACTCGATGTACAGGTGATCGTGGCGGATGGCAGTTGATGATTATCAAGCCTCCAAGTGGGAAAATGTTGGGCTTTGTGGAGGCTTGGGCTTGTCTTGTTGGCCCGGCCCATGTTATGTAACCCTAGGTTTTTTTTCCTTCTATATATTGAGCCTTGTACTTGTAATTCCGCGAGGCACCACAAGTGAAATAAGAAAATCCTCCTGTTGCAGCCGTGGATTAGGGAAACCGAACCACGTTAAATTCTTGTGTGTCGTTTGTGTTCCGTTTCTCTCGTTTCTCGCAGATTATTTGTGTGTGTTGTGTGTTTAATTCCCAACATGAGGCAGTTACTTAAGGCCTTGAATTTGAATCTTACCATTTCCCAGCTTATGGCCAATAAAGGGAAACATGCACCACAAATATTCGTTATATTCCTGTCCTATCCTCCACTTGCTCTGTAGATGTACGATCAGCACCACTGCAACCTCAGCAGTCAGCACTATTCACCTCCCATAGCGAGACACATCCCTCAGGTTTTTGCTTTGTTGTGTTTGCAATGAGGGGATTTTAAGAATATTCATATGTTAAGAGGGGGTCAACTTAAATGGCTGACTGGCATTCAACTTAAATTGCTGACTGGCATCACAGTTAATTTCATGAAACTAAATGCAGATAATTGCTAGGTTGCCTGTTGTACTTAATGACAGTGAAGCGTAATGATTAACAGGTGTGGTGGTGTGGTAGGAAAGTATGCTGCTGGTGATTTGAAGCCACCTTCAACTGGTATGTGTTCTTTTTCTCACAACTTTTGAAGCTAAGCTTATGGATTTTAGACTTGATCTTTTTTGTAGTTACAACAACTCTGCATGGTGTGCAAATATATGAAAACTAAAGTTGTTTGATTACATTTTTCTATTGTTTTAGTACACTTTCAAAAACAAGAACAGGTTTCTGTTTTTACTTTTTACTCTAAACCATATTGATGTTTGCTTCATAGTTGTTATGATAAGGTGGGTAGGCGTGGGCCAAGGCTTGATCATCACACTTATTATCTATAGTTATCAAGACACCGCCTAGACGTCGTTTAGGCATCCTGGCGGTCAGCTCCTCTTGCCATGGGGCATCGCCTCGCCTTATTTTGTATCCCTCGCCTAGGCGCCTAGGGATCGCCTTTTGAAAATCCTTTATGCCTTTTAGTGAGTGACTTTTTTCATACTCCATATTACTTTGCACTAAGAAGTCGCGCATTGGGTTTTAATCATATTTCGCATTTCATATTCTTCCTTTTTTCATATTATGATGTGTTTATATTTTTTTAGGTATGTGTATTTGAAATTTTGATTCGGTTTAGAGAACACCTATGCTTTTATTTAAATTAGTGTTACTAAAGTATACCAATCCTGATTTATTATGTGTTGCCGCCTAGGTCACCTAATTGTGCCTAGGCGGTCACCTAGTCGACTAGGCGTCATGGTGTTACACTGGTGCCGCGCCTCGCCTCGCCTTGGCACCGTGATAACTATGTCATTATCTGAGCGAGCATGGACCAAATACGAGGCCCGTTTCTTAGTACTTATTAGTTTAAAGTTCAAACAAACTGGTCTAGCCCGACCCATGACCTTACCCATCTCTACCTCTACTTTACTATCATTATTTATGTATATAAGAGAACCTCTTGATGCAAACATTTATAATCTGTTTCAACGTATTGCATATGTTTCTTGCCAAATCTCTTATAATATTTCGAAACTTCGCACGGAATCTGTAGAGTTTTGATATGTAGGCCTATTTTTTTAATTGATAATTAGATATTTAATTTTAAAAAATCTACAAAGATCTTAAAATTTGTGAACAAGTGGTGGAATTTAAAAAGTTTCAATATGTAGATATAGACCTATCTGTGTAATAGATAATTACATATTTAGTTATCTAAAAAAAGTAAAAATGATATGAGATTAGAAAGCTAGAACTCATCCTGGAGCGTACTTTAGTGTTTGCTGGGAAGATTTAAATGCTGTGGCCTGTGAGAGCTATGAGAGAGCTTGGATTCGTCCAGCTTCACAAAATCTAAGGATTTAATAGTTTTATACACTTGTTTTAAATCTATGAAGAAACATATATAGAGTACTTCACAAATTTGACTGTCTATACTTTCTAACTCGCAAGAAACTTCGTTGAACTTTCTATATTTGTAAATGACAAACCTAAGATTAGTTTATCCATGTCTTAGCATCTTCCCTTGGGTCTGGAAAGCATCCACAGTTATTACCTTCAACTCCAAGGTGGGCTGTTGCTAATGGTGCTGGTGTCATATTGAGTGTTTGTGATGAAGAAGTTGTTCGTTACGAGACTACTACCTTAACTGCAGTTGCTGTTCCTGCACTTCTGCTGCCACCCCCAACAACGCCTATAGATGAGCATCTTGTTGCGGGTCTACCAGCTCTTGAGCCGTATGCACGGTTATTTCATCGGTATGTGTGTGACATGCTCTAAAACTAGTCTTAAATGGAACCTAAGCGACTCATTCCAGTTCTCCGTGAATCTATACACTCATATAATTTATATCGAGATAATATGTCTGAAGTATCTCTTGTAGATACTATGCAATTGCTAGTCCGAGTGCCACTCAGAGGTTGCTGCTTGGACTTTTAGAAGCTCCCCCTTCATGGGCTCCTGATGCACTTGATGCTGCTGTGCAACTAGTTGAACTTCTTCGAGCAGCAGAAGATTATGCATCTGGATTGCGAGTAAGTTGCATCATCTTATACCAAATTATTTGGGCAAGTTGTGACAAACCTACAAGGTGTTGGATGACGAAGTTTTGTATAATTTCTTATTTGTTGCTGGTTTCTGTAGTCTTGTCATCAAACAATTATATTGCTTTGGCAGCATTTTCATCCCATGATTCCCAGGATAGAAAGTGACCTGTGCACTGCAGTGTTATTAAACCCGGACTGGGCAGTCGAACCGCGATCCGGCCATGTAACCGGTCCGGTCCAAACCCCCAAAACCTGCAAAAATTTGGAAAAAACCGGGTTGACCCGGAAAAACTGGGACCCGGCCTCCTCGCCGGTTCAACGTCCTGTCCAGGTTTTAAATCATCGGTACACTCTACACTGTTATTAAGATGATTGAATTATCTTTGTTATATATCTAAATGGTATGAGCCATACATAAAATAATGTTGTTTTATATCTTACAAAGTGTTATAGAAAGTTGATTGCAATTTTCAGAGTTAATAACACATTGTCTACATTTTTTGCATAAGTATACTGTTAAGTAATTGTAGACAATTGATAAACAGTATAAATTTCATGCCACAGTCTGAGTTCGGATAATGGGATGATGATGATTATGTTTCTTTTCATTTCTCATTATTAATGTCACACAACAACTGTTAGATCCAGTCATATCGGCATCTTTACCTCCATGGCATGCCATTTCTCAAGCTAGTTTTATCCACTTGCATGGTTATCAAGCCATAACCTATTCAGCTGACTGGTTCCTCTGTACTATCTTTCAAATATTAGAAATCTATTTCATTTATTCTTTCTTTTTCTTTAGTTCCGAAGTGGAATGTTTCTTTCATTCTTGATGTTATTTATTTTGATTTTAAAACATCTTGTACAGAGCACTTCTTTTGAATGGTTATGTTCATGTTGATTTTACAATATCATATTTGTGATGGGATATGACTACAACAGCTCTCTTGATTCACCGTCTTCTTATGAAATGTTCCATGCAAATAGATATAATCTATGATGATCACCAGACTTTTATCTCATTAGTCCTACATAAGAAGGTTGCGACAAGAAGTGCATCTGGTAACTTTTTCATTATGTTTTTTACATGACTTTATCGTGCTACCAACTCCATGCACATTTGATCAAGGTGGTGATGATGAAGGCGAGAGAAGTTCTATTTAAGCATTATATAAAATGTGTCATGATCCTGTTTCCTTCAATCTTTATTTGAAATTTTTTCAGGGGAACAAATGATGTATTAAATGAGCAATGAGAGTAGTTCTTTTTAAGTTTTTTCTGAGAAACAAATGGTGTATTTTAATGAACACATGAACATCGGCCTACATTTATAGATACATGCAAAACATGTGGGCTAGGCCTAACTATAGTTCAGGTTGAATTGCTACACTGAACTAAATGGTTGCTATTTTTGGATTTTAAACTCAAGTTCTAATCTTTATCCACTTGGTGAAGCTTCCTCGGAATTGGATGCATTTGCATTTCTTGCGTGCTATTGGAAATGCAATGTCCATGAGAGTTGGCATTGCAGCAGATGCTGCAGCTGCTTTGCTTTTTCGAATACTTTCCCAACCTGCATTGCTTTTCCCACCATTGAGACAAGTGGAAGGCGTGGAAGTTCAACATGAACCCTTCGGTGCTCACATTTCATGTCATAATAAGCAGGTACTTATGCTAACCTTGGTACATAAAGATAAATGCTAGTACTCTTGTGATATCTAAAATATATCCTCTCCCAGAGAGAAGTGCCTACATCTGAGGCTACAGTTGAAGCTACTGCCCAAGGGATTGCATCCATGCTTTGTGCAAACGGTCCTGAGGTCGAATGGAGAATATGTACCATATGGGAAGCAGCTTATGGTTTGGTTCCTTTAGATTCCTCTGCTGTTGATCTTCCTGAGATTGTAGTTGCAACCCCTTTGCAGCCTCCTATTTTGTCATGGAATCTTTATATACCTCTGCTTAAGGTGCTTGAGTATCTTCCTCGTGGGAGTCCATCCGAAACCTGTCTCATGAAAATATTTGTTGCTACCGTTGAAACAATTCTTCAGAGAACCGTTCAATCCGAGTCATCCAGAGAAGAACTTAGAAATGCAAGATTGCTTTTGGGCTCTGTGTCCAAAAATCTTGCCATGGGAGAACTGCGCACAATGGTCCACTCATTATTTGTAGAGTCATGTGTTTCTGTAGAGCTTGCCTCTCGACTTCTTTTTGTTGTGTTGACTGTATGTATTACTCAAGAAGCAAAACATGGCAGAAGCAAGAAGATTGATGTCGAAGATTATTTCACAGTTAGTGAAATAAGTGGAGACACCAATGGAAAGCAAAAAGAAATCAAAAGTGAGAAACGTAGTAAAAGCCGAGGACCTTTGGCAGCATTTGACTCTTATGTTCTTGCTTCCGTTTATGCTCTTTCTTGGGAACTACAGCTATTCCCTTTGGCTGCAAGAGGAAGTTTTTCATTGGGTCCGAAGAATATGGAGGACATTGCTAGCCTTTCAAATGTATCATCCACCGATTTAAAGAATGGGAGTCATTCTGCAGTTATCCATACTCGCAGGATACTAACAATTCTAGAGGCACTTTTCTCTTTGAAGCCATCTTCTGTTACAACTTCATGGAGTTACAGTTCAAATCAGATTGTTGCTGCAGCAATGGTTGCAGCTCACATTTCTGATCTTTTTAGACGGTCAAAGGCTTGCATGCGTGCACTGTCCATCTTGATACTGTTTAAATGGGATATTGAAATTCACTCAAGGGCATCTTCACTTCACAACCTGATTGATATTCACAGAAAAACAGTTGCATCAATTGTCAACAAGGCTGAGCCATTGGAAGCACACTTAATGCATGCACTAGTCCCCGGGGATGTTACATCCGGCTTTAATGGGAGAATTAAAAAACATTCCAGTTGTAACTACTTGAAACCAGAGCAGCCATCTTCCCCTCAATGTGAAGACAAATTTGATCCTAAAATGTTAAATATGTGTTATAAAGCATCACAGTCAACTTTGGTTGCCAGGGGTAACACGGGTAAAGGGATTGCATGTTTTCCAATTGAAGCTACAGATCTGGCCAACTTTCTTATAATGGATAATGTAGGATTCAGTTCTCATGCACAATATCTTTTAAAGTCGGTTCTCACAAAGAAACAAGAACTATGCTTTTCTGTTGTTTCATTGCTTTGGCGTAACCTGATCGCTTCACCTGAAATACAACCTTGTACAGAAAGCACATCTTCCCAGCTGGGATGGAGGCAGGTAATAATCTACTGACATAACTCTGTCATACTTTTTTTTTCACTGGCATTTGTCTGAGTTATATACACTTGATTTTGGAGCTAAATTTAGTTGATACCATTATTTCTCAGTTTGATGTGTATATATAGCAAAGGAATTTACAATGCCTAGGGACATTTCCCTTAAATGTACGGAACAACTTCGAGGGAAAGAATCATATAAACTTTACAAAGAAAGATCAATAGAAAGACCAAGTTCTGATTTATTCTAGTTTTACTTTTATATCTAATATACCTCAAACTGGTTCATATATATATATATATCATATGCACCAAGCTTCTTCATTTGTAGTCTATTTGAGAACTTCTCAAGGATTTGTTGAAGACATATACAAGTCATTGTAAATGACAAATGACGTGTTGATTTCCTTAGAGTTTTGTGTCAAATAAAATGGCACTCAACCTTTATATGTTCAGTTCGCTCATAAAACATTATTTGAAGCAACGCGTCGAGCTGCTTGGTTGTCACAATTTAATTACATAGAACCTATTCTGAAATGCCTTAGCTCCATAACTAAATACTTAAGCAAGATAAACTCACATATTCACATGTACTGAAACTGTGAAAGTCATGGCCCTATATACAGCGTCAGATCGTGAACAAAACCCTGTTTCTTACTTTTCTAGGTTATAATATTACCTCCAATGAAAACACAAATCCAGAAATCCTTGGTGATACTGCCGTATCTGCATAAGCATACATGATAATATCAAGACGACCTTTTTTCATATAACAATCTTTTCTAGGAGACCCTTTAAGATATCTGAAAAAAGGAAAAATTACATCCCAATTACTTTTAGTGGAAGATATAAAAAACTGGCGTACACACAAAACTAACTGCGCATATGATATTGATTCTGGTTCTAGCAAGATAATTAAATTTGCCCACCCGCCATTGATTCCTCATTGGATCAGAATATGGTTCCCCTTGTTCTAATAATAACCTAGCATTTGGATCCATAATAATGTGTACTTGTTTTGAAGTCAACAACCATTTTCTTCCAAGATATGTCAGGTGCATAATTTAGCTGGCATATTAAACCACTTGTTTTGGTTTCCATCATCTCAAATGGAGCCAAAGATTCACTTTTTTTGGCTTTGGGGTATGATGGAATAAAGCAAAAGGGCTCATTAAGCTGTTTGCTCACTTCTTTTAATAGTGAAGTGACAATTAGTCAATGCAACTTTCGATGCTCATCATGGGTCATATGGAAACAGCAGCTCTGCATTTTAAACACAGGGGTCAAGCTCCCCCTTACCCCGCAATGCCTTTAAGGCACTGGAGTAATGTTGTTGTTGTATGAAAACAGTTGTTTTGGACTGAGCAAAGTCAATACCAAGAATGTGCAGTGATATCCCAGAGATCCGTTTGTTGTAATGTTGTCTTAAGTTGATAAGATGAATTTTGTTTGAGACCTACAATTCTTTTAGATTCATAACCTATAATAAAAATATCATCCACATAAACTATCGGATAAAGAGCTTCCTGAGATGCCGAGTTTCTAAAGAACACAAAATGATCAACCCTGCTCAGAACATGCCAAATTCGTTAGACATGACCAAAATTTCAGAACCAAGCATACGAGGATTGTTTCTGAGCAACCATGCAATAGTTTCTGAGGTTTATACACAAGATCCAACTCTCGAGCAACAAACCCCGGAGGTTGTTCCATATATATTTCCTCTTTAAATGCACCATATAAGAAACAATGATTTATATCTTGACCAATGAGAGATAGTTTCTATGGACGAAATGAGATAGATAAATCTCATTTTAGCAACAATAACAACAACAAACCCACTAACCCAGTAAACGTTTTACTAAAGTCAAAGCCTATTAGCATGAGTATTGTTAGCGGATGTAAGTAGGTTTTGGTATTATTGGGCCTGTTAGTGGGCTCGTAATTAGGTTAGAGTTATGCTTGTATAAATAAGGTAGTTGTGATCAATGAAACCATTAAGTTTAGTTCTATTAATTTTTCTACATGGTATCTGAGCCAAATCTTGGGATAAAAAACCCTAGTTTGCTCTAGTTGCTTCCGCAGCCGCCGTCGCCCGTAATTTGTCCGCTGGTGGCAGCGGCAAAATCACCATCTGTTCCTCTTTGTTGCTATTTTTCAATATTCAACATCATCGGACTAGGCGGCCACTATCCCACGTCGCACCTCGCCCTCAACGCCTCCATCTATGGAGTGTTTCAATTGACTACAATGGATCACATCTCCGCTATTCCGTATTTTCTAGTCCTCAAATTTGGCCCGGTAAATCTAGCATCAAGCAGCACTCTGTCAATTTGGCCGCATAAAGTTATATATTCTCAAGGTGGTTCGATGGTAATTTCCACAATTTTGTGTGGTTGGCCATAAGTCAGCACTCAGCAAATATGCCACAATATTTTCATCCATTGTCTCAGCAAATTAAATTCAAAGTTTTGTCCAAAGTTTTTTATTGAGTTGTTTCTAGTTTAGTTGTAATTGTCCAAGTTGTGTATTCGTTAACGTAATGCTCAACTTGAGGGGGAGTGTTAGCGGATGTAAGTAGGTTTTGTTATTATTGGGCCTGTTAGTGGGCTCGTAATTAGGTTAGAGTTATGCTTGTATAAATAAGGTATTTGTGATCAATGAAACCATTCAGTTTAGTTCTAATATTTTTCTACAAGCATCCTTTGCCACGAGACGAGAATTGATTTCAAACAATCAACATTTCCATCCGTATCAACCTAGATAGTAGAGACCCATTGACACCCAAGTCTAAGAAAATCGCCCTCCCAGACCCCAATGCGTATTTTACTAGGTTTGTTGTTGTTGTTGTTGTTGATAAACGAGTTAAAAACTTCAAATATTTAAGATTAATTATCCACTTGTACACTTTTGCTACTTGTGACGATGCTTTCCCTGCTGATGCTAGCGTTTGAGTTAGTGGCTATACCGGTTTCCTTCTACATTTCTAATACTAGAATTTACAGTCATTTGCTTCGTTCTCTTAACTAACTGCTTCAACTGTAGGTAGTTGATGCACTATGCAATGTTGTGATAGCTTCGCCTGCAAAAGCTGCAACAGCTATTGTTCTTCAGGTTGTGATTTTGTAGCACTTGAACACATTGGCTCTTTTCTTTTTCATTGATTATCATGATATCAAAATTTTCCTTTTCCTCAACTCCATATATTGCTGATGTCTGGGCTGCATGTCCATCTTTAAAGAACATTTATGGCATAGCTATATCTTTGTATTTTTACCTGCATACTCATGTTCATATATTCAAATTCACTAAATTGTAGTATTACTATATGTTGGAAATCAATTTCTGTTCTTATTTAGTGTGAATGCTAGTAACTTCATTTGCTTAGTTACTATTATTGGTTTGTCACTTGTCAGGCGGAGAGGGAAATCCATCCATGGGTTTCTAAAGATGACTACGGCCAAGTGCATAGAATCAACCAACGGATCGTGAAATTGATTGCAGAGGTAATGAGAAATCATGATACTCCAGAATCTCTTGTAATTCTGGCAAGGGCATCGAACCTTTTGAATCGGGCTACTGATGGAGTCCTTGTTGATGATGAAGCATGCACCTTACCTCAATTAGAGGTAATTATTTCTTTTAATTCTGGCATATATTAATATTGGGTTTGCTATAATGTTGTATGTGAAAAACATTGAGCAGCTCCTTGAAGTGACAGCTAGAGCAGTTCAGCCAGTGCTAAAGAGGGGAGATTCTGGATTGGGAGTTGCAGAAGGCCTCCTAAACGTTGTCAAGGTAATAAATCAAGCCTCTATATGCTCTTAAAGGCTCTTATTCGAAGTGCTGTTACTCAAAGCTGAAATGTTAAATGTGTATGTCAAAATATTTTGTAAAGTGGACTTTGAAGAGTAGCTTTAGGACTTGCTTTTCATTCCATTCTTCTCTCGTCCTTCTACTCCATGTATTTTCCTCCTGTTTTTTGTTCTCCTTGTGGACCAAGTCCCTCAAATGGCTAGATGCCCCAAAATTGACATTTCCATTTGAGAAGGGTTTGAAACCCAATAAAATAAAACTGATGCGAGAATATGAGATGGGATCGAAAGAGATGAAAAAGGAGATTGGTGATCGGCAGAGGAGGTATGCGATCGCAATTTGAACGCGGCGAGTTAGGAGGAGCTTCGGAAAGAGGCAGGGTTTTAATTTACTCCGTAATTTGGAGTAAAAATGGGCTTCTGACCCGAAGACTAATTTAAAAAAACAAGACTTTAATTTCACGGCGTTAGTCGTCTACGGCGCTGCACCTGGACGCCAAGTCTTCCAAATGGTGATGCCTAGGCGAGGTATTGAAACTTAGGCGAGTCGATTGGCCATGGCGAGAAAAACATGCCGCCTGGACGCCTAGGCGACGTCGTGATAACTATGGATATGTTATAATAAACAGAAGACGCTGTTAAGCCTGTTATGTCATTATTGAGTATTTGAGTTACTTCACTATTGTTGTTCAGACAATTACTAAAAGGTAATGCAAATTGGTGTTATAAAACCATCCTTCACAAATTCAAGTGGCTATGAATTTGCATAATTTTAGAATTTAACACACTTTTTGGGAAAAGAACTCGGTCACGAATCACTCAGCTAAACTGGGTTGCACTACTAACACTTTCTTAAACCATCACAAATGTAATCCTCCCCCCCCCAGGGGCAGTACTCAATATCATGTGTAGGCTACCCTTGTGTGTGTTTTTAATGTCGTTCTTCGTGTATTGTTATCTCTTCTCGTTTGCAAGCTTTTATCCAACTTTGTATTGCTTCCATTTTTTCTCTATGTATTTATGGAGAACCTCACCCCATAATTTTCTTAATTTCCTATTGTTTTTGTGCACATATACACGGTGAACCCTGTAATAAATGGGTTTGTTCCCACCTTCACTAGTACTAAATACTAAAGGGGGTTGTCTTGTGCCTTGGTATCATACTATCATGCCACCCACTCCTTTGTACATCTACCTTTTTGTGTTAATAAATTGGCAATGGTTTCCCATCACTTTCCCCACCAAATACAGTGGAAGCCTTTGGGTAAAGAAGCGATATATGGAAGTGTGCCATTGGAAAAGGATTGTTTTATGCGAACAAAGGTCATGTTGATATTATTGCTCATTCAGATGCAAACTGGGTGGGACCCCGAGTGATAGAAGATCAACTTTAGGGTATTGTATTCTCATTGGAGGTAACTTGAATTCCTGGGAAAAAATAAGCAGGGTGTAGTTGCAAGATGAAGTGCTGAAGGCTGAAGCAATATAGAGACCTGGATCTCATAGCGTGTGAACTCATCTGGTTAACATATTATTCCAGGAACTAAGATATTGCACAATACGTTCTATGAAATTGATTTTATAATGAAACAATTCTACATATTGCCTCTTTTTTTCTCAAGAAAGGACTAAGCATATAGAGTGTTTTCATTCCAGAGAAACTTTTATCCAAAGAAATTAGCACATCATTTGTCAAATCCCTCTACATGGGTAACAACTTGTGCTTATACATGTTTGCCCGAGGCCACCGAGCTTGAAGGAAGTGGTGAATTATATAGTAAAGTAGACTATAAATCACCTTTATGATTTTCTTCTTGTTCCTGTCTTTCAACTCTGTGTATTTTTTTCTTGTTTCTTTTTTCTCCGTGTAGACACTTTACTTTATAACTGGGCTAGGAAAACTAACTCTATGTGTTCAATTGGGTCTATGCCTTGCAGTGTCGTATACCAGCCACAGTCCGGTGTCTTTCTCATCAGAGCGCTCATGTCCGTGTTCTCAGCACATCATTTCTTCGCGCAGTTCTGCACACTTGTTCAATAAAACCGAGAGCCGAGCAAAATCCTGCACACCAGTGCTTGAATATTGACTGGAAAGCTGAAATTGAGAAGTGCATGAATTTGGAAGCTCATAGCAGACTAGCAAATGGCTTGTCTATGAACACTCTTGACACTGCTGCTAATGAATTAGGCTGCGTTTTATCTGTCTAAGAATATTTTTTTTAACTATTGCATTCTGTACTTGTACCTATCTGTTTATAGAATACAGACTGCTCCTTGTAAGAATTGCAAATCATAATACAAGTGTCGATATGAGCAACGAAATAAGAATCATTTCACTTCTGTGTGGTTTGAAAATGTTCTAAAATGCTTCCAATTAACCAACCTATCAGATGGTTGATTTTTAGGGACATAACTTCCTGATTGTGTTCAATATGACTCTCTGCGATATCTGTGTTAATTATGAGCGCTTATCTTGATTCTTTTGTGTGCGATATCTTCGTGTCTATATTTCTATCAATTCATGAATGTTAAGACATGCGTTTTTCTCGTTGTGTATACTTCTCTCGTTGTATCAATTCTATGAGGATAGTCTTCCTAGTCATGAGAATGGTAAGGAAATATGGATATTAATGTCAATGTGCCTATTCTTGTTTATTTGTTACTTTCTACCTAGATAATAAGTAAAATTAAATCAATTCCTTTCGAATACCCCTGGTTTATATTCTTGATCAATATGTATCTTGGTCTTTAAATATTCATGTGACTGAATGATATGTTAAAGGACATTGAGCATGAATATTATTTTGTCTACAACTTGTTTTTCTCATATTTGGGATAGATTTTATACTCTTTGGACAAAGGGGAATCACATTCTTGCTTGATGAATTGTTTGGTCAAAATTACAATAATGAAGAATCTAAAGGATCTTTGGGAAAAAGATGGTAAGTGAGTGGGAGGGAATTACTTGCTCATAATGGATCAATGGTATCATGATTCTGATGTAGTCCGGGCGACATTGAGGCTCGTCCCGGGGACCATATTGGAGGACGAGGCAAATCAATCAAAAACATTACCTCCATATAAAGAAAGGTGAAGCCGTGAAGTAGTACTCACATGTTTAAGCTTTTGGTTAAAAAGTGGATCTTGATTTTATATGGGAAAGTGATCAAATATCACCGACACTTTGCCTAGTTCACTCAACCCACCAAAGTTCTAACATACCAGCACCAATACACTTGATCCCTTTAGAACTCCGAAGTTAAGCAAGCTTAAGCTTTTGGTTGATTTGGTTCCTTGACATGATATCAGAGCCTAAATAACCAAGAGGTCACGAGTGCATGTGAGGGGCGTGTTAGAGTATATATAAAACTTTTCCTGAACTACAATTACAAGCTTAAGGGGCTGTTTGGCAACTTCTGAATAGGTAAGTGCTGAACCAGTAAGAGGTCTGAACCATTAAGTGCTGAACCAGTAAGAGGTCTGAACCATTAAGAGCTAGTATATTGCTTAACTATTCAGAGGCAAATGTCTGATCAATTCAGATAAGAGGTCTTAACCATTCAGACTCTGTATAATACTTAACCATTCAGAGGCAAATCTCTTAACCATTCAGACATATGAACCATTAAGAGGCTGAAACAAACAGTCTGAACCATTAAGTGCTGAACCATTCAGACATCTGAACCATTAAGAGGCTGAAACAAACAGCCCCTAAGCTTTTGGATAGAAAGTGGATCCGGACTTTATGTGGGTAGGTAGTCAAATCTCACCCAACAATCCGCCCAGTTTACTCGGTCTACCAAAATTTCAACATACATGAATCTTTTGAAGGACTCCAGGTCACGCTGATATTTGGCTCGGTGGAAGATCGATGCTTCAGAAGAAGAAGCTGCCCACTTCTTTTGGAATTTCTCAGTAGTCCCTTTTTGAAGAGGTTGCTCTCCTTCAGTTGGACAGGGTTGCAAAGGAGCCTCATTGAATGCTCTTTAGCTCTCGCCCCTTAGTCGACTTTAGTGCGAAAGGGGGGTTGGCGGGGGGGGGGGGGTGTCTTCATCATCCGAAGAAACGACGTTTTCTTGATGGAGAGTTCCTCTCTTCAAAAGAGGCTAAAGTGTCTTTCACCTAGGGGGCCTCCCGGGTTTTGGGGGAGGACGGGAAACGCTTTTACTCTTAAGTGTCGTTCCAGCGTTATGCCGGTGGACGCAACAGACCACTTCAAATTCATGAACATCGTCTTTCACGATCATAGAAGCAACACTCGAAGTCATATTTGGAGGATGGTGTGATATACTACATATGTGGCCAGCCTTCTTAGTCCTGTGTTTGGTTAGTAAATAAGAATATTAATGTCAAAGTGTCATGTTATATTTTGGGTTGGATTTTTAGACCAAAAGAAGGCCCCAAATCATAAATTTTACACTTTTCACTTACTTTAAAATAAACCTATTTCCCTTTGTTACTTGCTTTATGCTCAAATAATACATAAAATAAAATTTGTCTCTTATCAACACCATTGGCCCAAAGTTCTCATCGCTCATCAGTATAGCCTAGCATTGTCATGTTATCCTGGCTTCAGTCATTCATGTAGCTCAATATGTGGTAAAGGAGAGTGTTAACAAAGTCAATAAAATTGTTCAGTGTTATGTGTGCAACTTGTGTTTTGTCATATTTGGGATTGATTTTCTACACTTTTGGACAAATAGGATGCACTTTCCTGGCTGAAGAAATTTGGCCAAAATCGCAGCATTGAAAGAGAGTCCATTAAAGTCTTGAGTGAATACTCCCTCCGTCCACAAATAAAGTTCTCGTTCACTATTCACATGGTCAAACTTTATTCACTTTGTTGGCCTATTTTTGTGTCTTATTTGATAAAATAATATAGTCATGTCACCTTTAGTTTTGTAGATCTTTTCATGTAGTTTTTAAATATGTTATTTTTATTTTTTAATTCCATACCATATTTCATATAAAATGATTTGAAAATAATTTCAGTCAAACATCGTAACGCGCAATGGGAACTTTATTTGTGGACGGAGGGAGTAGTAATTTATCCATATAATAATACTTCCTTCGTTGCATACTCCAATTGTGATTATTGGAGTATAATTGTGATTATTGGAGTATAAGACTAGATACTAAGCCCTAAGGCGAACTAAAAGTGTGTGATTCAACTTAGTATTATCATTTTTCCCATCTATTACTTGAAACTTGAATTTCCACCTCCATTTGGTCCTTCACATATTGTCTCTTATATATTCCTTTTAAGTCCTAGCCAAAAATATAGCATTTGGTATCAAGGTCAGTGTTTTACATCCCTAATGGACCGTACACTCTTTTCTTTCCTTCCATTTCCGTGAATCACTCTTCAAAATAATAAAGAAAAAATCAATTCTTCTTTAATGAAGGAACAACCAGCAACTACACTAGAAGGAAATTTGATCCCGACAAATTCCTTAAATGAGGAAACGGCGGAACGTGTCTTCCACGCAAACGCAAAAATTGGAAAAAGAAGCGAAAATAGAGGGACCGAAAGAGTATTACTCTGTATATATGATGAGTTATGAAACAAAAAAAGAAAAGAAATCAATTCAGGGATAACTAAGCCTATGCTTTTGTCTTGAATCCCCTCCTTCCCTCGCCTCACAAGTAAAATAAAAAAAAGGCTAGAATGTATGTATAGGAATTACAAAATTCAGAAAGTTTAACTTTAATTGTGTCTATAAGCATACCTATTGTCAGAAAACTAAAAAAGTTGCGTGTAAAGGAGGGTTCATCGTTTGTCGCCAGAAGTTTTGTTTAGACCTTCTCATCAGGGTCAGAAGATTCGGAGTCCTTTTGCTGGCCACTCTTGGACATTGAATGGCTACGCCGCTCCTTCCCACCGGGCTTAGACGAGGCATTGCCATACCAGACCATCCCCATGACTGCAATAATCATGCCAATGACTACTTGTAAGTTAAGACCCTCTTTACCAAACAACAAGAATCCCAGCATCAAAACGAGAATGGTTTTCATATGCCCAAGCACTTGGAATGAGACAGCAGTAAATCTGCCAATGCAGATAAACTGACTCAGATTGGTGCCTATTGCGATTGTGCACGAAAGAATCAGGAAGACCTGCACAAGAAGGGTAGGGAGACAATTAGACATGTAGGTAGGAGACCTAAGAACAAATCGAACTCATTCATCTCAAATGGAAAGAAGATTAGCACTGTCGAGTCCATAAATAAATCAATAATAACACACATGGGTGTGCACTAAGCTAATAGCATGTTTAGTTGCGCCCAAAGTTTCTGAGAATGAATCATAGCAAGGAATAACTTAAAGAATGCATCTTTGCTAAATCACAGGCAATATATCTAAATCCATAGTAAACCACGGTAAACGTGAGATAATGAGCTTAACAATTGCTTTAAAAAAAATTACCACGGAAGGGAAGGTAAAAGAATAGTGGTCGATCCTCTTAGCTGTAAGCCAATAATCCAGAAATGGGCCTACAATCAGCAAAGTTGCCGCTTGAGCAGGTGCAGTGTGTCCCAGCAGGTTGAAAGAACTTAAAGAATATTTCCTTTGGAGGTAATGGACATACTGCAGCATAAGCATACCAAAAAAAAAGATGAAAAAAAAATCAGAAGGCTCCTCTGAAGGAACAGTAGAGCAGCATGAAAAAAAATTTGGACAAGTTCATGTAAGCACTGCATAATGCATACAAACACCCTATTGTCACCGTCTTAAGAAATATCAGGTAGAAGAAAACACTTACATACTGTTGCAGAGCAGTGCTCCAAACAGCAATAAAGGCTGCAATGAACCCTTTGGCATTGACACTAACATCTGTAACTGTGCAGACAGCAACACCCAAAAGTACCAAAGAAATGCTGAGCTTTGTATCTCTTGAATATCGAATCTTGTCCAAAACAACTTCCAGCAAGCAGGATACAGGTATCATACTCAATTTCGCAATCTGAGATTGATTCAGACCCCATAGGTTACAACATTTGAACTCCCAAATAAATAGAATTCCAATAATTTCAGTTTTATATACAGATGTTTACCTGGTAGAATCCTACTGAATTCCACATTAAACTGACATTCATCCCAACAATAGAGAAGTTTGCAAATAGTACAAACTTCAAAAGGTCCAAAAAGGGTAGGTGGGAAGTTTGGATGTATCCCAGCCATCTAAGAACCGCCGTCATCAAGGTGGTTGTAGCAAAATGCATACCAGTCAATGTTGTAGCTGCATGAATGGTTTAATCAAATCTAGAACAAAAGATAATGTAAATAATGTTTAACAATGAGAAAGTTTTGCTAATCGAAAAAACAAGGGAAAAAGCAATTAATCTGTGACTTATATATGTAGGCATGTAGCTGTTTTGTCCCTCTGAGATTGTTTCATAGGTAAACAAACGTCAATCAATTGTCCCATATTATTGCAATTTCAAATTTCTGTTTGTTTGACGTACTAATTTAGCTTTCGGTTGTTTCCAAATTAGTAAATGTATTTGTGAATCACTATTAAAAGCACATTGTCAAAATATCTGCAGTATTGGTAAATTTATACATTATCTGTCCAATAATTTTTCTTCCTGATTCAACCTGGCATGCAGCATGCATATTATGCGAGATGAGAAAGGTTGACTTTCCTAAAATACCCCTCTACACTACAATACCCCTCTTTCATCTCTACCTTTGCATCACCATCACGCACCAGAGACAACGCAAACCATAGACTTGGATAGAACTCTCCCATCCAATGAATTATACCGTTCCATTGTAGCTGGTTGTGGCAAGGAAGGAAAGGTGGAGACAGTGATCCCAGGTGGAAAGGAAAGCAAGGCAGCGGCTATGAGAAGGTCTGAAGCTTTAATGGCAATGATGATCTGACCCTTTGACGGCGGCAGATGATCAGATCTGAACCTTCAACGCGTCAAATCCGGAAATGTGCGGCGAAGGAGACAGACTGGCAGAGGAAGATGATAGACGTGCAGATTGGAAGAAGAAGAAGATGATGAAAGCATATGTGGGAAGAAGAAGAGTTGAACGGAATGAAGAGATAATGTTGGGTGGGGAATAAATGAGGTTGAAGTTAAATTAATACTCCGTAATAACTTGTAAGGGTAAACAGGATATTGTACCCAAAAAATTTTGCCAAATAAGAAAACAAGGAGGAAATTTTAGGATGGCTCAAAAAGGAAAACGAGAAGAAATACAATACAAAAACAAATTATACATAGAATTGGAAAAATAAAAATCTAAATGACAACTAATCTATTTTAAAACAATGAGATCATATTATTTAGCTTGCCATTGTGGCATTACACGCCATGTGTATGTGAGTGTATACATGATGTTGTTTTCACATAATGTTTACAAGATTAATTCCATCTTTGTCCAATAGAAGTCTGGATATTCCTTCTGTCTGATGGATCCATTTTTATACTCTAAAACTGAAATCTGAAAAGGAAGAAACTGAAATGGATGAAGAAGAAATAAATATACCTTACATCAGAAGGCAGGAGAATGAGCTCAGATTTTTTTTTGAAAAAAAAAAATTTTCACACGCATTGCAGTATGCGCTAATGCGCATCTATGCACACACATCAGGAACTTCGCCTGCATCAGGATACGCAATGCCCTAGTCTCCGCGAATTGTGTGCATCACACATTATATGCGCCTTTCACAGCTACACCTGATAGTATGTTAGGCTTGCTGGAGTATTGAGATAATTTGACATTTACTTAATGTATTGCATTTGATATAAGTAGTAACTGTGGTTCACATTTTTATTATTATTATGGTATTGAACCAGTAAATGTTAAATTGTTATTCAATTTACAGGTATTTTAACTTTACGGAGTAATATTCTTTTATTGAGGTCAACTCTTATGAGCTTAGACATTGAGCTTACATGACATCTACAAGTTTACATTATACACGAAAAAGGCAGTTAAGTACAAAAATGGATGCTAGAGATTAGGAAAGTTACCAAAGCTGAACCCATATGTAGCCATTAAGGCCTTATTAATAATGATAATTCCCACAGAAGTGACCACATTGAACATCCATGCAGCTGCATCAACTGCAGCCTTCTTCTCGGCCTTTTTTGCAGGAGCCATTTCTGTACAACCCCTAAGTTTCTTACCCTTCAACAAGTAACATAAAGAACCTTTTGCATATACCCTCTCAACGCTGCAACCTTTTCTGTCCTAATTCTTTACATGAGAGTATAAAATCATTAAGACGTGAACAAATCAGGCAAAGTTATCGAGAAATGCTAAGCTCATAATAGTACTAAGGTTAGCCATCCATCAAGCATAAACTGTTACAAAACAAGTTAAAGGAAAATATCACGGAAACCAAAACAGAAAATAACATTTGAAGTACTCTGCCACCTCAAACTGCTAGAAAAAGAATGTGCATAAATTCAGATACTCCGCTCCATACGAGATTGAAAATTGAGATTCTAAGGTCAAGCCTAGATTACAAATCAACAAAACGTCAAGCTACAACAATTGAAAAATCACTTAATCGATCACACAACAGATCCAATCAATTGAAGGGAAAAAAGTTAAGATTTCCCAAATTGGATCAGCATTTCACTGTTACATTACCAAATCTGAACCAAAATGCAGATCACGCGCAATTCACGAACAAAAATTCCAACAGATCTAACCTTAAACGTGCCCCAAATGCCCTCTGCCAGATAGATTCAGATGCGCACGAAATTTACGTGATCACAATACATATATGGAAACGTTTAATAGCATTGAGAAATGCGGGTCGTAAGCACAATTAAGAGACGTACCGTTTGGAAATCAGGCAGAAGAGAAGTGATCTCCTCTACGAAAAGTGAAGAAATTATGATCTTCACCTCACCATCATTTCTTGCTTTTTCTCTGCCTTCAACACAAATGAGAAAAGCTGTTTGTTTGTAGGTAAATGGGTTGCTTCCAGAAATCTGATTGGGCGTTGAAGGATACGTAAAAATGTATAGACGGCGTGAAACGGAAATGGGGAAGAGGAGATTCACGTGTTAGGGTTTGGTCCGAGAAAGGGGACACACATCTTTCTTCTCTCTGTCATGTTTCTGGCTTGAGGAATGCTAGGGGTACCCCTTGGGTACCGCATTTTGTACATCATGCATCCTAACTTTTCATTTATTTTTTTATTTTTAATTTTTTCTCTCTCTTGCTTTGTGTGGTGGAGATGGAGGTGTACAAATGGGGTACCCCAAATGGTGTACCCCTAACATTTTTGTTCTACCTTTGAGTTGAGATCCCTCCCTAATCCCTATTAAGGCCAAGCTAGGATCACGGGTTAGCCCAACTCTCACACACTCTCTCATAGGGGTGCAGGAATAAATCTGGATCGGAAATTAGACCTGACCCGAACCGAAATGGACCGGTTCGGACTGATCCAGAGTAATCAGGTCCGGTCCGGTCTCCAGTCTTAACAAATTATGGATTCTGGGTTCTGGTCCGGTCTATATCCCGAAAATAATCGGTCTGTACTGGAATTTTTAAATACATATGGTAAGGTTATCTTTGAAGGTGAAAAACAACAACTTGTCGACACATGTGCCCGCTGAGAAGCCTTGACTTCTATTCGGGGCTATGGAGCGCGAACTTTCACTCATGAGCAGTGGGATGGGAGTCTTTTAGCCATGTATGAATGAATAATTTGATTGTCGGTTTGGTTATAGAATGATCGATAGCCTTCTCACCATACTCGAAGTATGAGACAGAAGTACTAAAACAAGCCTTCCTAACTCTATGCATTATTCATTCCATTGGTCTGGATTACTCGGGTTTTCAAAACTATAATAAATTGGATTGTAAGTATGCTTTTCATAAGGCATCTTCCAACACTTTATTTCTCATCTCATCTAGAAAGGGAGGGTCTACGCCATACCAATTATCTTTTCATACATATTATGATGTAGTCACTCTTTTTTTGAACATAACGAATATGTCCATGGGGGGCGCCTGCTTTCCACACATGATTGCATAATTAGCATTAAATGCCTAGTGACTAGGTTGTTTACACAACAAATCTATTCATAACCCATAAAACAATCTTGTGTTGTATCAACCTAATTGGAGGTGAACATCGTAGCGTCTAATCAATTATAACTAGCTATATGCTCAGTCACACGTGCGTGAAGGTGTAAATCTTCACCCAAGATCCTAGATGGTGCCTGGCTTTCGGTTGAGACTATTGATCTGGTATGGCAAAGCATTTTTTGAAAGGGTAGGTAGGGTCCCAATCCTGTTATATACGAAATACTTCATAGCTAATCCATCCTGAAGTTTTTGAGACTCAACTTTCCCCATGTTCCTAAAGAAGAAAGCCCCTCGTCGTTGGACAATTCCCATCAAGTTTGGAGTAGTAAAAGCTCCTTCAACCTACAACTTGATCCTGGGAAGGCCGACTCTGTAACATCCTAATCCGTCTAGGTCTGCAGCCCCTTTCGGACCAAAGTACTAACTTGGTAATCGTAAAATTCAAAATTTTTCAAACACTTTTATTTATCATAATAATAAATTTTCATAACATAAACAGTACGGAGATTCAACAATATTGCGGAAACAAATTTAAATGTAGTCATATCACAATAAATTAATTCAAAACTTGTCACATCCATCCCGACCATCTCGCCCCATCTGCCGCCAGGAGCATATCACATCATTCTTTCTATTAACCTGCGTGTAGCAAATAAAACACACAACACGCTTAGTGGTAAAGCTTAGTAGGCATATCTAATGCGTCGAAAATCCATATAAATTGAATCTCAATTCATAATCAAATCATTTGATAGCATGCACATAATGTTCAGTTCAGATATTCAATAATCAATATTCAGTTTGATCATTCATTATTCAACATTAATATTCATATTCATATTCAACATTCATCATTAATATTTGATATTCAACATTAGTATTCAATAATATCCTTAAACTATTCGTAGTCTAAGCCAATTCAATTCTTAAACTAATTCTAATTTAAGTATTTCTAACCAACCCTTAAGCAAGGCCTAGTTTAAGATACAATTTTTCAAAAAAGATTTTCAAAATCTTAAACTTACCTTCGCTTAAGGTCAACCAGAAACTGACAGCGTGGTGTTCACTGTTGGGTTGGGTGGTACCCCCAAACGAGTAGGTAATTAAGTTTGGTTCTTGGATCCCGTACGCACGTTTTAACCCTAGCCACCAGGCATCATACCCGCAAGGCCTATTTCTAATTTATCTTAGAGGTCTTCTAGATAGTATTAGAAACCAACGTAACATCAATAGGGATATATCTTAGAGTTCTTCTAAATATCTTTAATAGTTCATCATCAATTTCTAAATGGATATATTCTAGAGTTCTTCTAGATATCCTTAACAATACAATTCCTCAATCCAAATTATTTCATAATCATCGATGTATTCATTTCAAATCATAGTTTAAATCATTCACAATAATTATTTTAATCAGTGGGTTCATCATCAATACATCATAGTCATCCATAACAATAACCATCATAATATTCAATAACAATTAGTGGTCTAGCGTCGAGTGTTAACACCCTAGCTTACCGTCATGCATCACGTAAAGTCCTCTTAGTTGTCAAAACATCATTTTTACTCCAAGAGATCATCTTTATATTAATCATAATAGGTTGGTATCAAAAACAGGATTCCATAGTTCAAAAATCATGTTTTCTAAACAGTAATCGATTAAAATATGATAGGAAAATCAATTTGTAGCTACTGACTTCATTTTCTTCAGCAAAGTAGGGAGATAATCGATTATCAGCATGTGATAATTGATTATCTGACTTTCAGAATAGGGTGATAATCGATTATCACATTCTGATAATCGATTATCAGCCTTTGGTTCATTTTCACAGAAGGCTGACAATCGATTGTCACATTCCGACAATCGATTGTTGTGCTGCTGTGTTCTAAAAATCTACAGAACGATGAATAATTGATTTTTAAGTTAATAATCGATTATTCATCGTCTTCTTCTTTGAGTCACTTTAAGTCACCAAACTTCAATTAAAGTATATAAAAAAGTTCCCCAAGGTTCATAGATTATTTTAGCATCATTAATTCATAATTTTAACATCAAATTCATGGTGTATGATTCTTAGTTCTTCAAGCATGTCAAACACAAAACTCAACCAAATGACCATTTATGAACGTAGAAACGAACTATACAAACATTCGGCGAAACATCCGGTGACGATAACTCTTAGCTCCGGTGATTGCACACCAAATTAACAGCACCACAACACTCCTTACACTCAAGGCTAACTCTTAGAAAAAATTTGAGGGAGAATGGTGAAGAAATGATGAAGCAATGAGTTGAGGAGGAGTGTTCTTATAGGAAGGAGGAGACGAAGCTGCCAATCCCTGTTGAGTCATTCATGATTCAGGATCGGCTTAGCGGCGATTTCAGGATTTTACACGCCACTTCTTGATTGGGACTAATTTGGTCCCAGTCGAGGTATACTTTTTGGTCCAACTTTCTCCGAATTGAAATCTGTTTGCACCGTTGCTATCAGACAGTTAAACTCTATCTGACGATATAATTTTCATATTTATTTGTAATACTTTTTCCGACATCATATTTTTGGGTGTTTGACTTTGACAAAGTCAAAATTGATTTAATTGACCTTTACTCAAAAAGGTTCTTACATTCCATTCATAATATGTATTCTCATGATTTATTTCAATAAATAATTTCAAAGTTCATATCATAACAATTTCTTCATTTATCCTTAATTTGGGTTTGTACTCTGGTTTCCAATCAAGGTCTCACAATAAGTCAATCATGTTGGATTTATCTCTATGAGATTTATCCCAATTATGTTTATTGGATATCAATACATATTTTATTTCGACCCAAAGCACAACAACAATTTATTTTAATCAAAACAAATTTGATTAATTTGAATAATTATCCATTAATAATTCTAGACTATGTTTTTAGGCATTACAGACTCTCCGAGCCGCCACTTTCATGTATCATCTTAGCATGAAATTTTGCACCCCTGCTAGAAGGTGTGGGGGGTGGAGAAGTTGCTTGCAAATTCTACTTAATAAGCTTTAAGAGATGGTCAAAAAATGGTATCTAAAATATCTCCTATGGAACGTAAGGAATATGAGGTTCCTACAAGATTGGGCACTACTAATGAGATTGAGGAATTTCCTTTCCCTCCCCCTTTGGTCGAATGGGTGTAACATAGTTCAAAGAAATGAGTTGAACATAGTTCAATGAATTCTCTAGGGACTTCGTACCTCTTTCAATCAAATGAGTTTCACTATGTTACACTCATTTGAAACGAAATGAGTTGAACATAGTGAAACGAATCTCTGTTCTCTAAATGAGTTTCACTATTTGAAACGAATCTTTTGTTCAACTCATTTGGATAATAGGATAATAGCCGAAGGGTATTAGGTCAACTGGAACTTGTTCAGTTAGATAAAGAAGATCAAAGAAAATATGTCTTATTCGGACCGTTTCTTTGGTTTCTAAGAGCAAGAGTTCTCATGAAATTAGGGAAGGTCATAGTTAGATTGATTCACGTTTTCTTTGCTTGCCGAACTGGGTTAGAAAGAAGTCCTGCTTTATTAGCAACTTATAGTAGCTCGTAGGCAGAAGGGACAAGAAAGGAAACTCCAACTTCCTATCCCTAAAGCATTGTCCACTCGCAGGGAATTACCTTGGAGCTAAAATGGAGTTGGCCTTGCCCAAAAAGCAAATGCCCCTTACTCTAATTACTCTAAGGCTCCGTTAAGAGAAAGCCTATGTAAAAGCCCGAAGTGGAAGTACATCAAAATAGTATTCTTCAATTCGATTAAGCAAACATCCTTGCATGGAACTGGATGCATCTTTCTTTTCTATTTTGATGTACTTCCACTCCGGGCTATGAGATAGGAGTTCCCTAAAGCAGAAAACGACAAAGTAGCAACTGGGTGGAGTAGCATAAACAACTCTAGTTATACTTATTCCGTTCATTTGGAAAGATACATATTCGTTTATCTCAGAAACTTATGTATCTTTCCTTTAATCGGATATAGTACGTATCTCTAGAAGTAGAGATTGAGGCAAA